GGAGTCTCTGCCTCTTCTACCTCAGTTAGGATTGTCCGTTGTTGCGGGAGTCCCTCTTATGCAGTTTTCAGTTCTGTCTCAGGGGTAATTTTTCCACGAGTAGTTGTAAATCGGCTGTATCCACGGGAGGAGGTGAGTTCCGAGTCTGCTTACGCCGCCATCTTGACTCTGCCTTCCAAACAACCCAATTTAAAAATGGGCAAAAGAGGGGCCAGCCCAGTGGCGTAGCGGTCAAGTGTGCATGCTGTGCTTCGGCGGCCCTGGGTTCGCAGGTTTGGATCCCGGGCGCACACCAACGCACCGCTTGTCAAGCCATGCTGTGGCGGCGTCCCATATAAAGTAGAAGAAGATGGGCACAGATGTTAGCCCAGGGCTAGTCTTCCTCAGCAAAAAGAGGAGGATTGGCATGGATGTTAGCTCAGGGCCAATCTTTCTCAGCAAAATTGGATGTTAGCTCAGGGCTGATTTTCCTCACACACAAAAAAAAGTGGGCAGAAGAATTACAAACACTAAATATTGGAGGATATAAAAATGAGCAATTCCCCCATGAAAAAGTGCTCATCATCATCAGTTATCAGGAAAATACACATTAAAGCCATGGGGAAATACCACTACACATCAGCTACAATGGGTGAAACTAGAAAGACTGCCAGTGTGACACGTTAGTGAGGATGTAGAGCAGGTAGAGCTCTCGCCCATCGCTCACGGGGATGTAGAAATGGCAGTTTCTTGTTATGTATACACTGATCCTGCGACAGAGAAAATGGATTGCTAGGTCTTTATCCAAGAGAAATGAAAACGTGCACCAAAGACTAGTATAGGCATGTTCATAGTAGCTATATTTACAGTAGTCAAAAGTGAAAACATGCTGTTACATTCATACAATGGATTACTATTCAGCAATAAAAAAGAACTAACTAGAGAAGGAAAACCTAAGGTGAAAAAAATCAAAATAGTTACTACTTCTGGTAGGCTAGGCATTGTCTAGAAAGGGATACAAGGGAACTTTGTGGGGAGTTGGAAATGTCCTATACCATACTAGCCATTTGTCAAAAGTATACAGAGAAACACTGTACACTTCAATGTAGGTAAATTTTACTAAAAAGAACCATATAATAATGATGATAATGGAGTGAGTTGGTAGGGAACAGGCGAGGGTATAAATGATACAAAAATGGCAGAATATTGATAACTGAGCTATCATTTTATTATTGTCTGCATATGTTAAACTACACCTTTTAAATAAATTAAGAAAGAAAAAAGTCTTATATTTACCCAGATGTTTACCAGTTTCGATCATCTTCATTCATTCCTGTAGATCCAAATTACTGTTTTAATTTCCCTTCAGCCTGAAGAATTTGTTAGCATTTCTAAAAGTCCCCTGGCCATGAATTCTCTCATTTCTTTATCTGAAAATTTCTTTATTTTGCTTTCATTTTTAAGGGACAGTTTTGATAGATATAGAATTATGGGTTGGTCATTCTTTTTTCTTTTTTTTTTTTCTTTTGGTGAGGAAGATTGGCCCTGAGCTAACATCTGTTGCCAGTCTTCCTCTTTTTGCTTGAGGAAGATTGTTGCTAAGCTAACATCTGTGCCCATCTTCCTCTATTTTGTATGTGGGACACCACCACAGCATGTCTTGATGAGCGGTGTGTAGGTCCGCACCCAGGATCCAAACCTGCGAACCCTGGGCCACCAAAGCAGAGCGTGTGAACTTAACAATTATGCCACTGGGCCGGCCCCATTCTTTTTTCTTTTGTTCAACACCTTAAATATATTCTTCCATTGTAATCTGGCTTTTGTTGTTTTGTTGAGAACTTATCTTTCATTTGTATTTTTGTTCCTTAGTATGTAATACGCCGTTTTTCTCTGCTTTCAAGATAGATTTTCTCTTTATCTTTGAATTTAAGATATGGCATAAGACATTGTCTGTGGCACACCATAGACAAACTGTGGTTTTCCTTGTATTTATCGATCAATAAGTTAATGCCATTTATAAAATTTGGGACATTTTACTCAAATATTTTTCTGTCCCATTCTGTCTCATCTCTCCTTCTGGGTCTTTTTTTCCCCTCTCTCTTCTTCAGATTAGGTGATTTTTGTTGATTTATGTTCAACTTCACTTCTTACGTCTCCCGTCTTCAGTTTGTTCTTAAGCCTATCCAGTCAGTTTTTAATTGCAGTTATTGAACTTTGCAACTGGAGATTTTCACTTGTTTTCTTTTAATATTTTCTGTCTGTTCATTTATTGTGTACATATCCTACTTTAAGTCTTTGTACATGTTCATAACAGCTGCTTTAAAGTACTTGTTTGATAATTGCATTATCTGGGAAATCTTTGGAATCTGTTTTTATTGACTGCTTTTTTTTGTGAAGTATGGGTCACATTTTCCTATATCTTTGCATGTCTGGGTTTTTTGATTGGCTACTTGGCATTTTAAATGATGGATTTTAGAGACCCTGGATTCTGTTTTGCTTCTCTGATTCATAATTTTTATTCTAGAAGGCAGTTATCTTGGCTGAACTCAAACTCCAGACTGTCTCCTCTGTAGTGGTAGCAGCTGAAATCTTTACTTAGTTACTTCAGTTTCCAGCTGCTGATTTTCTGCCAGGACCCCTGGGGTCCCCTCCCTCACCTTGTGATTAGTTTAGTGATCAGCACAGGTCTTAGGAGGACTTTGTTTACTGATTCTGGAGATCACTGCTTCTTTGGCTCCCTCTCTTACAGGTTATCCTTCCTAAATTTCTGATAGTTCTCAGGCTGAAAGTCTGTCATCTGATATCTCAAGCCAGTAAGACTTGGCTTTCTGCTCAACCCACCCCCAGTGGCAAGCAGATTCAGCAGTGCCCTCAGTCAGAAAACCACAAATGTGCAAATCTCACCTCCTGAGATTTACCCGCCAGCTGCTGTCTTCCCTTGCCAGGGCATGTGTGGTTTCTGCAGGCAGGATGGCTTCCAGAGAGGAAAGGGAGGACCCAGTTTACTGCTCTCACATCCAATCAGATAAGTTGCCCCTTGTCCCCCATGAAGGAGATTGTGAGGGAGTGGAGAGAAGTCAGGAGTATACTGTCTGAGCTACATCAGTGTGGAAGTCGAAGTAGGGAGGAGATGTTCTCCTCTGACACTCCATAGAACCTTGTTCTCTTGAGAGCCTATGCCTACAGTCGACTTAGTAGAAGAGGTCAGCAGTTTGTCGTACAGTTGGAAGACCCTCATGGTGATAACAACCTGAGGGGAAACACTAATTGAAAGCAGTCGAGCAACCGAAAGCAGACAGAAATTAGAGGGGAAAGATAAAGTGCCAGTTTTCCCTCCAGATTCTTTATGTGTCAGTAGTATAATGCTTATAATCCAGTCCCCTTTTGTACCGAGATTAAATTCTCTCTCTATTTTCTATCCCAAATTAAGCCAAGTTATCCAGCATAGCATATGAGAGGTTCTGCAGGTACATGGTGACTGATCTCTGCTGCCCAGGAATCCAGGAGGATGTCTGGAGGAGGATGTCCAGAGGAGGATGTCCAGAGGAGGACGTCTAGAGGAGGACATCCAGAGGGGGACGTCCGGAGGAGGACTTCCAGAGGATGCTATCCAGAGGGGGATGTCTAGAGGAGGACGTCCAGAGGAGGAGGTCCAGAGGGGGACGTCCAGAGGGGGATGTCTAGAGGAGGACGTCCAGAGGAGGATGTCCAGAGGAGGACGTCCAGAGGAGGAGGTCCAGAGGGGGACGTCCAGAGGGGGATGTCTAGAGGAGGATATCTGGAAGAGTGGCTGCCTGTGGACGTGCTATCTTTGTTCTATTTGATGCTTTTGATTTAAACCCACTTTGTCTGAGATTACTATGGCCACCCCTGCTTTCATTTTGTCTGTTTTCACCTGGTATATCCTAACCCATAATTCTTTCTGTCATTTTGTTTTAGGTGGATCCCAAATAGCATAGAGTTGGATATGGTTTTTGTTTTTCATGACTTGGAGTGGTTTGTATTTAGGAGGAAGTTTGCGTTTATCACACTCAGCATTGTTCTCACTGTCTCCTTCTTTCGCGCTGTTTGTTATACTGCCTCCCTCCTGCTCTCCCAGCCGGCTTTGGCTTGGCTAGTGCTTCCTGCTCTTGTTTTTCCCCTAGTAATTTAGAAATTAGACATCCTGTTTTTATTTAATTAGTAATTACTTCAAAATAAAAAGCAAGTGAACCTCTGTTTCTTTACTAACATTAAGAATACGTTAGTATCTATTGATTCCCCTGGAAATATGGAGGAGTCACATACTTTAGTACCTCCCTTTGTTCCTACCTCCCGCCATTTTTTGGAACAATTTGGCCTTTTAAACTACTATTATTTCTTTTTTTATATCTCCTTAGGGAACAGTTTTCACATTTGCATTTTCTTGTATAGCCATGTTAACAGGTCACAATTTCCACCTCTATTTCTTTTATAACATATCTCCCCTATACCTAAGATCTTTATTTTGGTTTATTTATTGGATACTAAAGTATTTTTTGAGTGATTTTTAAAGAAGAGTATGTATCTGAGTCTTTGCATATCTGAGAATATTAAATGTACATTCTTCTGACATAGCAGTTATAACTATAGGAAGTTTTCCCAAGGAAATGACAACAATATGCAAAGATATGTGTACAAGTTCAGTTGCCCAGTATTATTACGAAAGCAAAAATTATAAATGAATAAATGTCTGCAAAGAGAGACTGAGCAAATAAAATAGGATTCTTTCCAGCCATTATTGCAAAATCCTAACAGTTTTATCACCTTTGTCACCTAACTGAAATCAGTGTCATGAGTCTTTTTGCCTGTTACTTGTGCAAGTTACAATTATAATATAAATTTAGACCACACAAAGCAAACATTAGCATGTTTAACTGTTAACATTAATATTCTATTTAGTATCTTTTTCGGTTTTTCAATTAGATTAAATATGGACTAAATAGATACTTATTATTGAAAAGATTTTTTTAAGAAATTTAATTTTAGTCCATTCCTTGTAGTCACTCCATGGATTCCTTTGGGCAACCCAGACCAGAAGATAACCAGTCAGTAGTCAGCAGAATGCAAAAGAAATACTGGAAAACAAAACAGGTCTTCATCAAAGCAACAGGGAAAAAGGAGGACGAGCACGTGGTGGCATCTGATGCCGAGCTGGACGCTAAACTTGAGGTAAATTTGAGGAATCTGTGTATTGCGTGTGACTGGTTATTATGTGGGACTGCAAGGGGGACTACCACAAGCTTTCACACTGAAGAACTTTTCAGTATAAATGCAAATTTGATAATAGAATGTTTAATTGTATCTGTCAATCAGATCTTCTGGAGAGGAGGTCACAATTCTGACAAATTGAGAATTGGCAGAACTGGTATTCATAAATTAGATAATCATGAATTAAGTAATTTCTCTGGCACAAGTATTATACTTTTTAAGCTAAATGTTAATGAATTAATTATATCCCTAATTGGGACCATATACTCATTATGTATTATGTCATAATATTTTGTACTATTTTTATGTGAAGTCTCATACTTCACTGAAAAAGAGTAATTGAAATCAAATGATGGGGCCGGCCCCGTGGCTTAGCAGTTAAGTGCGCGCGCTCTGCTGCTGGCGGCCCGGGTTCGCATCCCGGGCGCACACTGACGCACTGCTTCTCCGGCCATGCTGAGGCCGCGTCCCACATACAGCAACTAGAATGATGTGCAGCTATGACGTACAACTATCTACTGGGGCTTTGGGGGGAAAAAATAAAAATAAATAAATAAAAAGTAAAACAATATTTAAAAAAAAAAAGAAATCAAATAATGAGTGAGGATTTTATAAGTTAGAATTTTTGTTTCTATTATTAAGGGATAGAGTTATTGAGGTATTTCATAGTGCATTTTTGGCTCTATTTTTCATTTAAAATAAAAGGAATAATTACCATGAAACAACTTTAAACCGATAAGTATTTTATACTTTTAAGTAATTAAGCTAATTAGAGAAAAAGTCTCATGTATATTAATGAAAAAATCTGGAATTTTAAATGCAGATTTACTATCTCCATGTACATGTACTAATTTAAGATAGCTTTCACAAATATTTCCAAGCAGGGGCTCTGTTATGCTTGGAATATAATCATTTGTTGGGATTCTTAAAAATATAGGTATAATTAAGTAGGTATAATTAAGTATACTTAATCTACTAAGTATTTTTATTCTACAAAAAGTAAATTTATGTCATTGTCATAACAAATATGGAAATAGAAAACAAATTAACAAGCTTTTACTATTGTGTTAAAAGTATTCCTCTTAGGATTCAATGACAAATGTGGAAAACATGAAGGGACTTTTATAAGTAATATATGTTTTAACTCTAAGTGAACTCGTCACTGTTTCCGCATATATTCCCACAGAAGTATATTTTTTTGTATTGTTTTACATCGTTAGGTAATCTCTGGGTGACATAGTTTATATTCAGTGTTATTCTTGTCCATTAGACAAATATTTGGAATCAACGAAGAACTTTCTCCCACGTTTGTACTATTTTTTTTTGGTGAGGAAGACCGGCCCTGAGCTAACATCTCTTGCCAATCCTCCTCTTTTTGCTGAGGAAGATTAGCCCTGAGCTAACATCTGTGCCCCTCTTCCTCTATTCCGTATGTGGGATGCTGCCACAGCATGGCTTGATGAGTGGTGCATCGGTCCACACCTGGGATTCGAACCTGCAAACCCAGGGCCACCTAAGTGGAGTGTGCAAACCCAACCACTATGCCACCGGGCCAGCCTGCATTTGTACTATTTTTTTAAGAATGAGAAATATTTTCATTATGAGTATACTTATATCAAATCATCATGTTTTATACTTTAAATATATTACAATTTTATTTGTCAAATTATACCTCACTAAAACTGAAAAAAATATTTTAATTGAAAAAATAAAAAGCAATAGTATATAAATCTTTCAAGGAACTATGGGGAAAAAGTCAACCATAATTACTTCATCATAGTAGAACTATAGTTTTTGTATTCTTTTCTAGTCTTCTTCCATATGAATTTTAAACAGCTTTTTAAATTGCCAAATCCGTATACCAAATCCAATTCAAATATACCTAAAATATACAGAAAATTGATGGTTGCTCCTCCATTTAGACTTTAGTGTCTGTTATCAGTCTTCGTTAGGTCTCATCAAACATGAAAACAATAGCAAAACTGATTCAGGTAGAGTATTCAGGCTTAATGGTGATATTGGAAATTTATTTGATAATCAAAGGATAGGGCCTAAGATTATACCACAGTGCCAAGGTCTTTTTGAACTAAATCTCATAACAGTTTTTCAGCATAGGACTTTGAGAAAAAGGCTTCACCCCAAAACCTATGCCAGCTCATTTCTCTGGGAAAACCTAAATTATAGATATGTGTGAAGAGTTACTCATGTGTATAATGTGTCCTAATCTCAAATTTTTGTGTGCTTACTTTGAAATGGAGTCTACTGGATAGTATATTTTTCTGTTAGCTATTAGCAACAGTAGTCATGAGGGGATTAATATTCATGGAAAATTCTAAATGAAAATAATCCCAAAGTAATTTATTTTTGATGTTGTAACACATTATTTAATTTTTATGGTAAATTCACTGGCCTTTTTTGCTTAGACCAATATCACAGAAAAGCCAGACTCCGAGTTAACGTTTTCTAGGGTTATCTATACGCCTGTCCTCTGTGGTTGGCAGTGTTTGATGCAGTTTATATTGGATTTGTCTTTTTGCTATTTAGATAGTTTGGAGCCGAGGGGAGGACAAACTCCACAGTTATAAATTTTTATTAGGTCCCATGTATTTACCACAATTTTTTCTAGCCCTCATAGGGGAAATCAAAATGTGCTTTCTACATCAGAAATAAAACCAAAGCTGAGGTACATCACAGTCGAGGAAAAGAGACATAATACTTATAAGAAAATGTCCTGCTTTTGAAGTGCTTATAACAGATATTTTATATTTGTTTATGATTCTTTAAATTGTCCTAATAAAATTTATATTTCAAAGGTTTTTCACTCCATTCAAGAGACGTGCACTGAACTTCAGAAGATAGTTGAGAAATATCAGCTAAGACTCAATGGTATGAAATCATAGATACCTATCTGATAATTTCCAATTAAAATAAATATTCATTTGCATTTTTGAAAATGAAAGATTTAATGTAAAAATAGTAGTTTTTGAACTATTTTGTAAATAATTTCTTATGACAAAATATGAATATTTACAGGGACCTATTCTCAAAGCCCCCAGGGTTCTAAATTAATCAAATCCTGACACACATTCATTTTGCTGAGTTTATTTTTCCTGCCCAGTGTGTTAAGTGGATTTGCTTCCATCACTTAAAAACTCTCTCTCGACCCCCACTTGCCCTTGTAGTTATCATCCAATTCACTGCTCCTGTCACAGAACATTTTGACATGCAGTCGTCCCTGGGTATCCGTGGGGATTTGTTCCAGGACCTCCAAAATCTGCAGATACTCCAATTCCTACAGTCCGCCTTCTGTATCCGCAGGTCCCGGATCCGTGGATTCAACCAACTGTGGATTAAAGTTGAATCCGCGGCTATGGAGGGCCAGCTGCGATTGTCTGCCTGCACAGTCTCATTCCTTTCCTTCCGCTTTCTCTTGTACCCCAGTCAGGTTTTCTTCCCCACCAGTCCACCACATTTGTTCTTGGCATAGTCACAAAGAGCTAGATCCAATGATCAGTTCTCAGTCCTTGTCTTAATTTGACTTATCACATTATTTAGCATAGTTGATTGTTCTCTCATCCTTGAGACACTCCTTACTTGGCTTCCAGGCACCACACTTCCCTGGCTTTCCTCCTACTGGTCATTCCTTCTCAGTGTCCTGCCTTTGCGGGATTCTCCTCTCTTCTTGACCTCTTCAGGTTGGAACTCAATCTTTGGATCTCTCCTCCTCCTTTAATTACAGTGGTCTCTTGGACATGGCCACCTCTCTGATCCTGGTTACCTCTCTGATCTCATCTCCTAAAACTCTCTCCTCTTCAGCCATATTGATCTCCATCCCAGTAGGCATATCCACATAGTATGCTCCCTAACTGCCTTTAGGTCTTTGGTCAAATGTCATCTTTTTAGTGAGGCCTTCCCTGACCCCCTATCTAAAATGAAATATCCCTCTTTCTCATAATTCTCTGTCTACTTAACAATAGCACCTAACAATATTCAACATTCTATATATTTTATCTCTTGTTTTTCTTACCACCACTAGAATATGCTCTCCTTGAGGACAGGAATTTTTCTGTTTTGTTTATTTCTGCATCCTTGAAGCCTGGAAACAGTGTCTAGCATGTAGTCTGTACTCAATAAATATTTGTTCAATGAATGATTTTCTGGTGTAGCTATGTAAATTAATCTCAAAACTTTATAATCAAAGCTCATAGATTGTCTCAATAAAGCAAGAAATCCAGAATAGCATGATAATTTTTTGAGTGCCTGCCATGTGTAAGACTACCTGCTTTTCCCAAGGAAATAGCTGGAGAAACAACTTTGTAACAAAATAAGAAACACAGAGTAATATGTAATTGAGTTCAGAATAGTAATACAGATATAACTCTGAATTCTCTCGGAGTGAAAAATAACTATGGGTTAGGGTCGTTGGTAAAGACAACTCCATAGGTGGGAGTTGAGGTAAAACTTAAAGGGTTTATAGAAGTTGAATATGTACAGTCAGAGAACAAAGGAAGATTGAGGTCAGATTGCTAAGGACCTTAAATATTTTACCAGGCAGTAGAAAGCCGTCACAGTCATTGGACCAAGGGAGTCCTGTGCTGGAAATGGAAATGTGTGTCTTGCATTTGTCCTGAAATCACTAGATCTTTTAGCACACTAGTGGAGCATTTCAGGATAAGGAAGAGAGATACATATATAGATTTCATTGTGTACTTTCTCCTCAGGATTGTGTATAAATATGTGATTGGTTGAAGACTATTCTTGTAATACATCTTCTGTTGATACTAACATCAGACAGCTACAGTAGACTAGCACTATCAACCCATACGGGAATCGCTTGACGGGGGGAAGAACACAGAGGAGCGGGGGGTCTCTGAGTTTTTGGCAGCAGGTCCCAGCACAGACTCAGCACAGGTTTAGCTTCATCTCCTACCCTTTCTGCGCTGATAAGGGTGAGGCTCACTGATGGTTCCTGTTCAGCTGACACTTGACAATGAAGTCATCCAAGTTCTCAGGGAGCTGTCTGAATCATCGTATACAAATTAATATTTTTCTAGTAGTTTTCATTGAGGTATATTATATGAAGTTCTGATTCAAAGGAAATGTGTAATCTGTACATCTCTCAAGTAATCAGAACATTAAATTAACAAGACTCCCCAAATCCAGTCCTCTCTGGATCAGGTTAATTGTTCATAAAACAGCACATGGTTTTATTGAAGATGATACTACAGGATTTGCAGACGCCCTCTCCCGAGACACCGTCCTGATCTCCTGGGTCACCCTTGCAGGCTCGGCGAGGAGGAGCGGTGGAGTGGGGAGACAGCAAGTGAGAGGCCTGAGTTCTCTTGCTGCCTCAGCAGGACCGAGGGACTTCCCTTTCAGTTTGTAACTTCAGTTTTTCCATCAGTAAACTAGGGTGAAATTAGGCATGGCATTTGTTGTTTTTTTCACTTTAAGCTTAGAGTTTGAACACTTTACGGGCTCCCTCCCATTAGTCTTGTGTGATTAGGGTCATCTTACACTAGATCCGTGCTTCTAAAACTGTGGTGAAGGACCACTTTTTTTGTTTCGTGTTTTATTTCCAATCTGTTGTAAACTGACACTTTTGTAAAATACAATAAAAATGAATTTTTAGAAAAATGAAATTAGAGAAGACTGCAAAATACTCAGTCAAACTGTTAAAAGTGCCTGAACAGGTTTTTTTGTGTGTGTGAGGAAGATTAGCCCTGAGCTAACATCTGTTGCCCATCCTCCTCTTTTTGCTGAGGAAGGTTGGCCCTGGGCTAACATCCGTGCCCATCTTCCTCCACTTTATATGGGACGCCGCCACAGCATGGCTCGACAAGCTGTAAGTTGGTGCACGTCCGGGATCTGAACCCGCGGACCCCGGGCCACTGAAGTGGAGTGTGCACATTTAACTGCTACGCCACCAGGCTGGCCCCACCTGAACAGTTTCTTAGTTTTGGTACTTGTCACAGGCTGGTAACAGATGGTTCTGGACTGGCACTGGTCCGTGGACCACACTTTGAGTAGTAATGTGTTACATGACAACTTTTAGGGTTTCAGCAGCAAAATTGTAGACATCTATGAGTCTGGGATACTGCACATAGGAAACTGAAGCCAGGATGGGAGTCAAGAATAAGTTAAGTTTAAATAGGAAACAAGTACTTTGCAAGAGGCAATGATCCTAAAATGCATTTCTGCACATTTGAAAATGCATCATTTGTGGTTTTATTTTGTTGTTTTCGATTTTTTTTTTTTTTTTTTTCACTAAAGATCAGTCTTTCCCAAAGCAAGGTCCTTGGATTCACTGCATCAAAGCCATCTGGAGTGCTTTTAAAAAAAAAAAGCAGATCCTCAGACCTATAAAATCAGAATCTCTGGAAATGGAGCCCAAGAATTTACATTTGTAAAATAAGACCTCTTCTTCTTCCCCCAAGTAATTTTACATATAGAGAATTGTTGCCTTGAGAACTTTAGTTGTATGTGTGTGTTTTAAACAAATAATGAAATGATATAGTTAACTATACTGTAATTTTTTTCCTAGTTATATCAGAGGAAGAAAACGAACTAGGGCTCTTTTTAAAGTTTCAAGCAGAACGGGATACAACGCAAGCTGGCAAAATGATGGATGCCACTGGCAAGGCACTCTGTTCTTCAGCCCAGCAAAGGTTTACCATGGTTTTGCATCATCCTTAAATCTGTAGTCAGTATGACAGTTTTGACGTATGTACCTGTTTGTAAAGGTTACTGATCATTCCAGTGGAGGGTTAAAAGAGAAATATATTACAGAATATAATTGGTTTGGTGCCCAATTCTTATTTATTTTGTATTTAAAATAATTACTTAAAAATTGACATTCTCAATTGCTTAATTCCTAGAAATAGCCTTTAGGCCTGTATTTAAAATACTTAAGTGGTTTAATGCAACAGAAGCACAGAATGGCTAAAATTTAAATATGTATATTTTTATTTTTTTCTTTGACTTTTTTGGATACTATACTATCTATGAGTACATTGGAACCTTTCTTCTTTTTAAGTAGAGGAAATTTTTTCTTCTTAATTATATACTTTGTATTTATCATTTTACAATTTTTTAGCATAAAGATACCTGCTGCAAAGAATCTCCTACAGTTACTAAATACAGCCAAAATCTTTGCATTTTCAGAAAAAAATAAAACAAACAGGACTTATCAGCCCTGTAAGGATGATGTGTAACCGAAGTGGCTTTATGCTGATACCCCATATCAGTGCAGAAGTCCATCTTCAGGGAAGTGACAGACACTCAGTGCACGGCCCTCCAGTGCCACTAAGTCAAAAGCAGACCAGAGCAGCAGGGTTTGACTTGTGCTTCTTAAGTCCTTGTTTTTCTGTCCTCACCCTCAGCTGCTAAGAACTTGATCCTCATTAGCTCTTCTAGCATTTATCTGCTTTTCTATACCCAGGTTTTTCCTAAATTTGTCAAAAGAAAGGATTTCTATTTATAGGATTATTGTTTATGAATACAGAATCTCTTTTACCCATGGAACTCTTTTCCAAATGGCAGATTTAATTGGCAAGTTATTTATACATGGATTAACTCCAAAATCTTGGAAAAATGATATATTTCCCAAAATAAGAAAGGGAGAGATATAGACATATCTTTATTAACAATTCAAAGTTGGCTGTATGATTCTTACTTGCTTTCTAAAGCTCCTCAGGCATCTTAATAATTTCCTATTTATCGACTCGTCTTGATAGAAAATATGCTGTATCATTGTTTTAAAGCTTTGTTTTTGTTTTGGGATGTACATCCCTCTGATTTTTACCTCTCTGCTGTTAGATTAGCCCTGTATACTCCCCTGTCTCGTCTTAAGCAAGAAGTAGCCACGTTCAGTCAAAGGGCGGTATCTGACACCTTGATGACGATCAATCGGATGGAGCAGGCGCGCACAGAATACAGAGGGGCGCTGCTGTGGATGAAAGATGTGTCCCAAGAACTAGACCCAGACACCTTAAAACAGATGGAAAAGTTCAGAAAAGTATGAAAATATATTCTTTTCCTTTTCTTGATACTTAAGCCTGTTGAACTTCTACAGAATAGTTTAATCAAGATCATAAAATGTCAGCCTATTTTTGAAAAGCATGTTCTATTATAAATTTGTGGTTGCTTGGAGATCTTTGGTTGAAGTACAAAAGGTTGTCACACTTTTTTTACTCTTTGAGTGGCATCCTTTTACCCTGTCAACCTTTTCTATTGATTTTTTTATCCCCCTCATAATAGATCTAACTAGTCTTTAAATGTTGCTTCCCTGGACTTTTGGGATTTGTTTGCAGGAGAGAAATAGATTATTAGTGAGAAAAAATATATAATTTAAGTAAAAATTCATGTAAAATGGTTATTAATTTTAAGAAAAAATGAAAGTTACCAAATTTTTCATTCTGGCACAATACATAGTTTGACCACAAACTTTAAAGCAACTATCTATGTATGTACATACGTTTTTGCTAAATAAACTCCTTATTATAAATTATATCTCCCAAATTTCCATATATGAATAATAAAATTCATTCACTCCTTCATTTCATAAATATCTAGAGTACCTATCATAAAAATCGTATTTAATATTGATGGAGCCTTTACTCTGTACCAGCTGTTATAAGTGGCTTGCCTCAGTGATTATTCCCAGCAGCCCTGGGAAGTAGATGGACACATGGCCTCAGGGCACAACCACCTGTTCTATGCCTTTATAATCCTTGACAATTAGAATACAATCCAAGGGGGTGGTCGCACAACATTCTGAATGCACTAGTGTCACTGAATTGTACGTTTTAAAATGGTTTAGTATATGTGAATTTTACCTCAATTTTTAAAAAAAAGAATACAGTCAAAACCTCTTATCTGACCCAAATAGCCCTGCACAGTCTGAGCCCGGGTCCCTCTGCAGCCATACCTTGACTTACTTTCTACGCTCCGGGGAGGAACACGCTCTACCCTAGTCCTTCCTGTTCTGCAAACACAATAAGCTCTCCTTGCATCTCCCACGCCCAGGACTTTTGTCCTTGCTTTTCCCTGGGCCTGGACTGCTCCCTTCAGGGTCTTAACATGGCCCACTCATCATCTTTCTGTCCTAGTTCAGACATCATGCATGAGCTCACCAAGGGCGTCCCTAACCATCTTGTAAAAGCAGTCATTCATTTCTGTTCACTTATTATGTTATCTTTGCAACTTGAGATTATCTTATGTGTTTATTTACTTCTTTTTTCCCTGTGCCTCCCCACTCAGGGATGATGGGGAAGACCATCATTTTGTTCACCACAGTATCCCAGTGCCTAGAACAGTGCCTGGCACATAATAGATACGTTATAAATACTTGTTGAGTGAATGAATTAGTATATTTAAAAGTTGAGTATTCACACTACTTGTTGACGTATAACTCACCTTATGTATAAGAAATGTAAGAATCCTATATTTATATTCATAAATATATCTGCATGACTCAGAACTATTCTTCATGCTTCTCAACACTTTAACTATGTCCCCTTGTTATTTATTCTTCTACTCTTAGCTAAATATTATCCATCAGTAGTTTTATAATTTTTATTTATTTATTTATTTTTCCCCAAAGCCCCAGCAGATAGTTGCATGTCATAGTTGCACATCCTTCCAGTTGCTGTATGTGGGACACGGCCCCAGCACGGCCGGAGAAGCGGCGCGTCAGTGCGCGCCCGGGATCCGAACCCGGGCCGCCAGCAGCGGAGTGCGTGCACTTAACCGCCAAGCCACGGGGCCAGCCCTATCCATCAGTAGTTTTAGATTTTTTTTATTATTTGGAATCTGTGTTTTTTTCTTCTTAACTATATACTTTCCATCTATCATCACATACTTTCTCAGCATAAAGATATCTACTAGAAAGCATCTCCTACAATTACTGAAAATAGCCAAAATCTTTACCATTAATCATGAAATAATAATACAGGGAAAGGGAGTTAGTCTACTTTATTATAATTTCATGTGTCTGAAAATATGTATCATGAACCTGTATGGTGTATTTATACCTGTGTTATCAGTAATAATCATTAACATTTTTATGGTTGCAGGTACAGATCCAAGTGAGAAATAGCAAAACTTCTTTTGACAAGTTAAAGATGGATGTTTGTCAGAAAGTGGATTTGCTTGGAGCTAGTCGCTGCAATATGTTATCTCATTCGCTCACTGCCTACCAGGTACCCATTTCCCTGGTCAGCATGTCCTTGCAGTGAGGATGAGTGGTGAGATTCCTTTCTAAAAGTTGTGTGAAGGTGTAAGAAATTGTGTGATTGATCAGATTCCTTTGACTTTGCTAAATTGACTTATTGAGGTTATGAAAGTCAGAGAATCGTAGAATTCTAGACTGAAAAAGACCCTAGGGATTGCCTGCTCCTGTAGCTCACGTTACTCCCCTTGGTGTCCTAGGGGAGAGAGAGAGAAAGAGAGAGAGAGACTTATGGAGCATCTAGGTGAAGAGGGGGCTGTGGGGGTGAGGGGGCAGGATTCAAGGCCCCTTGGGCCTGGCTCACCCAGAGCTACCCCACTTTAAACTTCTACATAAATTTCATTTGAAGCAAAGATGCTGTAGCCCAGAAAGTTTAAAACTTTTCTGTCATTTTATGGATGAGGAAAGTGAAGCCTATGAGAATTAAAGCAAATGGCAATGCTGCGCTTAAAAACCTAAGTTTTCTAGTTCTGGGTCGTGTGTTCTTTTCATTCTGCCACGTTGCCATCCTACACCAACTTAACCTCAGAAGTCTCACTTGTGCTTACATGACCCCAAATCTCACATAATAGCATACAACAAATAAGTTAGATACGAATAACTGGTAGTTACTGATTTAACAAGTATTTGTGTTTGGCAAAATAGGAGAATAAACTGTATTTAATAAGGAGACAATAATAAACTACAGGAAGTAGACATTCACTGCTGTTTTTAGGGAATCCACCTACTTCAGTTCAGTTCTGGGGAATTCGGGAATCAGGAAAGCATGCAGTTGAGAATAGCAGTATGTGACCATCTGTGTAGCATCCTGCCCGAAGCACAGGGGCTGTTGGTTCAGTTCTCCTTATTCTCTGCACTCGTCCTCCTCACTGTGAACAGGAACCTTGCAGCAGCAACAAAATGTCCCATCACTCGAGTTAGCTTGAGAACACACTTTTTTGGCCAGTCTTTCTTGAACCCTAAATGAAAGACCAAATTTAGTGGTACATATTATTTTTCTCCAATTAATAAGGGTTTATATATGCTTACCAATGTAAAGATTTTACACAAACCCCTAATACAAATATGGTATTTTTGTGCTTTTAACATTTGTCTTTTGGATTCCTCAGAAGGTGTTCTGATCCACCAGGTTCATTCCCTTGGCTGCAGTTACCCTCTAGCTGGCTCCAGTGTACATTCCAGTGCTGTATACAGCAGGCACACATCCATGCAGACGCAGATGCCAATTCTTTTGAGAATTACTATTTACAGTGCTTTCTGGTTCCCCAAACTTGGAAATTGATTTTAGTTCCTGCTGCTTCTTATTCAGCAACCTTTTAACTACTACACTAGGAAGGAAAAACAGCACTGAAAAAAATCAGGGAGAGGAAGCAGAACGGTAGTGTCACCTTTTCTTTTTCTGCAGAGAACACTGCTTGGATTCTGGGAGAAAACAGCTCGAATGATGTCCCGAATCCTCGGGGCTGGCACTGGCTTTCATCCGTATGATTTTGTAGCTCTCAAGGTACATTTGTTTCCATGTTCTTTTGTTAGATTATTATACTTTATTTGGATAATAACATTGAAACTATTTTTGCTAAGCCTAATTTAAAATTTACAAAACATTGGGAAACATTTTTCTACATTCCTTCAGCCAGCCATTTTTCTGCACTTCCCCAATTCCGAACGCTGCCAGCAACACTGAACAAATACAGGGAACCTACTGGCAGGTTCACGGTACTAGTGGGGTGGGGGTGGGGGAGATAAAAGAGAGAGAGAGTGGAAAGAAAAGTAAAATGCAAAAGAGATAAGACAATGTTATAGAGAGGAAAACTTAAGAGGAACAAGTGATGGAAAATGGTCATTTGTTTTAAAAAATGACCAGATTACCTACCTGACAATTTTAGAAGTTAAAGAAAAATTTCCTTGCTTTACTTTTTTTTTTTTTTTTTTTAATTTTATTTATTTTTCCCCCAAAGCCCCAGCAGATAGCTGTATGTCATAGTTGCACATCCTTCTAGTTGCTGCATGTGGGACGCGACCTCAGCATGGCCGGAGAAGTGGTGCCTCGGTGCGCGCCCGGGATCCGAACCCAGGCCGCCAGCAGCGGAGCGCACGCACCTAACCACTAAGCCACGGGGCCGGCCCCCTTGCTTTACTTTTACACTCATGTCATAGATGTGATTCATGATACAAAAATTATGCCAGTTGGGTTGTTATATATGTGTGATTGCAGCTGAAGAGACTCCTGTATTAGATCAGCTCTTTCTGAGGAACAGGTACTCTGGGGCTATGATTCTAATGCTTTTAACCTTTGTCAGTCTGCCCGTCAGCCTTCTTTGCATATGGCTGATCCAGCAGAGTCGCACTGTGGTAGTCATTTCTTCAGTTCCAGTAGGTTAGGTTTCAGTACCTTTGAACTTACCATTCTGCCTTATTTTCAGTAGAGCTTGAAAATGTCGTTAGTAGGTTTGCTCAAGCCAGACGTGGTATCTGTGATGGGTTCATGTCTTCCAACTGTAGATTCCTGGGGTTGGTATGGACTTTTAAGTCATGTTTTGACATAGCATCTTCCAGTCTAATAGATACTCTTGAATTAGGTTTTTGGTTTGTTGTTATTGTGTGTGTTTTGTTTTGTTTTTTACTTTTTCTATCTCAGTGCTTCACTGGATAGCACACTGTGTTTTTAGGCAAATTTAATATCCAATTTCTGCTCAGAATTTAAGTTGAAAATCTTTAGCTGTATTTAGAGCATTGCAATACAGGCTAGCAACATGGTGTGAGTCTTCTTTGGCATATCACAAAGTTGTAAAGCCTGTGGCCAGCCCGAGTCACTGTGTGTACAGGCAGTCAGCGTGAACAAGGACACAGACTCAGCTCAGACTGCATAAGCAGACATTTCCCATATCTCTCATTCTCTACTTCAGAACTGTTCCTATTTTATTTTGCTTTTTAGAATTTTTAGTCTCATTTTGTTTGCACAAAGAGAGAAACAGATCCTTTCCATCTATTTACATTGAATTTCTTATCCTTAGCAACTACAAGACACTCCAGGCAAGCCTACTGAAGATGACAGAGGACAAATAGAAAACAGTTCTCTCGCTGAAAACCTCAATAAGTAAGCAGGCAAAAGTTGTATATCATGTTATGGAAGTCCTGGGTACCACTGTATGATATATTTGGAAACAGTTGTTTCTTCTCTGGCTTACTGAATACCTATTTCTATGTCATTTTTCCAATTAACATTAAATACTTGTTCTGAAGCCTTTTTTACCCTTTTTTTTTTTTGCTGAGGAAGATTCACCCTGAGCTAACATCCATTACCAATCTTCCTCTTTTTTTTTTTAATGTGGGCGGCCACCACATCATGGCTGCTAACAGGCGAGTGGTAGGGGTCCGCCCCCTGGGATCTGAACCTGGGCCACTGAAGCAGAACGTGCCAAACTTAACCACTAGGCCACCAGGGCTGGCCCATTTCCACCCCCATTTTTAATGTGGCAGGCGAAGTCAGTGATAGGAGTACAGAACAGTTTGGGATGATAAGTCCAAAATTCTATAGTTTGGGAGGCTGAGCCTTGTATTAAAAGCCTCTACCTAGTGAATCCCAGAAGGGCAGTTTGAAAAAGAAAGGGACAGGTGCCAGCAGAAACTCTTGACAGAAACCATTGAAAATCTATCTCCAGAACAACACAGGCGGGACTGGGACTGGTTACCTGACAGTGGGACTCTTGCTCTGCACAGCCCTCACGTTGCCAGTTTCCCTTTTTACATCTCACCTCTGTTTTCCTTTCTGAGCTGCCACTTCTCATTTTAACCAGATTGTAGTGAGTATAGTAATGAACCCAGAAATAAGGCCCAAACAGTGACAAACCGTATATTGTTGAGTGGAAGGTGATCTGAAATGTAAGTATTTCCCTCTTTTCTCTACTGGGAAATCCAAACAAAATTTTTGGCTAATTTGAAGATATAAATGTTTTAGAATATAGATTAAATAATCAAATGTATAGTTATACATTAAGCTTATTAACTTAGTTATACATTGACATTTAAAATTATATGTTACCTTAAATATATTAATTTAGTAAATTTTTCCCATGATCACGTTTCATGAAAGTTTTATTCAAAATCTTCTGTATCTTCGGCATTATGAGAGCTGCCTTTTGAGTGAACTAGCAGATTCCAAAGCACCTCACCTTCTCTTCCGTCCAGGTTGTTTAAAAAAACATATATGTATATTGTCATTGGAAATTTCATTCCAACTCATAAGTATCTATTTGCTCTGTAGGGTTATTTTTGTAGTATTTGTAAATAAATACTGTATTGCCTTTTACGTGTCTTTAAAAAGACTTATTAAAAACAACCTCCAATACTAGAATTGTGAGGTTATACCCTAGGAATGATGACTAAATCTGTGTTCAATTTCTTTGTCTCATTTTTTTATTATTACACCAGATGGATGATATAAATATCCAAAATTAGTATTGATTGAGAATATCTTAGGCAAATGTGTCTTCTTTTGCAAACATCACCGTCATTCAAAATAGAGTACTCCATTTTTTCTGCAGTTCTTCATTCCCTCTGTTTAGTTCCCAAGTATTCTTGAGCAAAATCCTTCAATGCTTGAAAACTAAACTAAACTTCATGCTTTGGTGACAGATGTTCTCTGTGATATGGAACTTAGCACAGTGCCTACAGTGCTGAACACAGTGCCTGGTGCTTCATCAATACTCAGTAAATGTTTATTACAAGAATAAGGAGTGCAGGATTATTTTCACAGTCTATGTAGACCTAGAGAAGAAGTAAGATTTATCTCAGACAGATTTTAGGAGATCTACCGGACAACTATTTTATGTCTCCTCAGTTTAAAAAAAAATTTTTTTAACCATATAAAACTGTTTGTAGAATATGAGTCCCAAATGTATTTTAACCAAAATCTTTGCCTTTTTTGGTTTTTACTTTAGGTTAGTTTTGTCAGACGAAGACGTGAGCTTGGGAAGTGAACCAGGTAAGATGGTAAATTCATTAAATTGTGAAATGGTCACATTTTAAATGTCAAAACAGTTTGTCACAGCCTTTTAAAAGAGATTGTGTTAATATCCATTCAGTTAAAAAAATGTCAAGGCACTTTATAAGTCTCGTCTGTGCAAACACTCGAGTTAGCTCTCTTTTTTTATTCCAGCTTTATTGAGTTGTAATTGACATAACACTGTGTAAGTTTAAGGTGTACAACGTGATGATTTGATACACGTATATATTTCGAAATGATGATCTCAATAAGATTAGTTAAGACATCCGTCACCTCACATAGTTACCGTATTTATTTTGGAGGTAAGAGCATTTAAGATTTACTCTTTTAGCAACTGTCAAGTATACAATACAGTATTGTTAACTATAGTCACCATACTGTACATTAGATCCCCAGAACTTATTCATCTTATAACTGGAAGTTTGTACCCTTTGACCAATTTCCGCCCCCTCCCCAGGCCCTAGCAACCACAAATCTATCTCTGTTTCTATAAGTTAAGCTTTTTTAGATCTCACATTTAAGTGAGATCATACAGTATTTGTCTTTCTTTGCCTAACTTATTTCACTTAGCATAATGCCTTCCAAGTTCATCCATGCTGTTGCAAATAATAGGATTTCCTTCTTTTTTATGGCTGAATAATATTCTACATTTTCTTTAGCCATTCATCTGTGATGGACACTAATGTTGTTTCTATATCTTGGCTACTGTAAATAATAATGCAATGAACACAGGGGTACGTGTATCTTTTTGAATTAATGTTTTTGTATTCTTTGGATAAATATGCAGAAGTGGAATTTCTGGATCATCTGATAGCTCTAATCTTAATTTTTTGAGGAATCTCCATACTGTTTTCCTTAGTGACTGCACAATTTACACTCCCACCAATAGTGTACAAGTTTTCGCCTTTATCCACATCCTCACCAGCACTTGTCATCTCTTGTCTTTTTGATAATAGCCATTCTAACAGGTGTGACGTGATATTGTGGTTTTGATTTGTATTTCTCTAATGATTAATGCTGTTGAGTACCTTTTCCTGCCATTTGTATGTCTTCTTTGGTTGGAAAAATGTCTGTTCAGGTTCTTTGCCCATTTTTTCTTCAGATTATTTGGGGTTTTTTACTATTGAGTTGTACGAGTTCCTTATATATTTTGATTATGAATCCCTTATCAGGTATATTACCCATTCCGTAGGTTGCCTTTTCATTTTGTTGATTGGTGTTTTTTTTCTGTGCAGAAGATTTTTGGTTTGATATAGTCCCACTTGTTTATTTTTGCTTTTGTTTATTGTGCTTTTGGTCTCATATCCAAAAAGATCATTGCCAAGACCAATGTCAAGGAGTTTTTTCCCTATTTTTTATTCTAGGCATTTTATGGTTTCAGATATTATATTTAAGTTTTTAACCCATTTTGAGTTAATTTTTGTGAGTGGTGTAAGGTAGAGGTCTAATTTCATCCTTTTGCATGTGAATATCCAGTAAGTATAGCTACCCCTGCTTTCTTTTGGTTACCCTTTGCATGGAATATCTTTTCTCATCCCTTCACTTTCAGCCTATGTGTATCCTTAAAGCTAAAGTGAGTCTGTTATAGGCAGCATATCCTTGGATCTTGTTTTTTATCCATTCAGTCACTCTATGTCTTTTGATTGGAGAATTTAATCCATTTACATTTAATTATTGATAGGTAAGGACTTACTAATGCCATGTTGTACATTGTTTTCATTCCTTTATTCCTCTCTTGCTGTTTTCCTTTGTGATTTAATGACTTTGTGGTGGTATGCTTTGATTCCTTTATCTTAACTTTTTGGGTATCTGTTACAGGTTTTTCCTTGTGGTTACCATGTGGCTTACATAAAATATTTTATATTAAAAAAATTCTATTTTATGCTGGTAACAACTTAAGTTCAATTGCATACAGAAACTCTATACTTTTACTTCTCTCTCCCTCATGTTTTAGGTTATTGGTGTTACAATTTACATTTTTTATATTGTATATCCAATAACAAATTATTATAGTTACAGTTATTTTTAATATGTTTGTTTTTTAACTTTTAAACTAGAGTTGAAAGTTATTTATGCACCACTATTACAATATTAGAGAATCTGACTTTGACTATATATTTACCTTTACCAATGAGTTGTACACAATCATGCATTTTTAAAAGATTAATTAGCATATTTTCATTTCAGCTTGTAGAATGCCCTTTAGCATTTCTTGTAAGGCAGGTCTAGTGGTGATGAACTCTCTCAGCTTTTGTTTGTTTGGGAAAGTTTTTAACTCTCCTTCATTTCTGAAAGACAGCTTTGCTGGGTATAGTATTCTTCATTGACAGTTTTTTCTTTCAATATTTTGAATATATCATCCCACTCTCTCCTGGCCTGCAAAGTTTCTCCTGAGAAATATGCTTATAGTCTTATAGGGGCTCCCTTGTATGTGACAAGTTGCTTTTCTCTTGATGCTTTCGAAGTTGTCTCTGACTTTTGATAATTTAATTACAATGTGTTGCAGTCTGTGGTTGGGTGAAGCTGCTGCCCGTGCTCTGAGGTGAGGGGTGCCCACTGACTGGGCTCTTTGTTCAAGGGGTGCTGCTGGCTGGGCTCTCTGGTCAGGTGAGGCTATGCTCTGAGGTCAGGTGGGGTCACTAGCTGGGTTCCTCAATCACCTGTCATCAGGCAGGGTCACTGGCAGTGACCCTGGCCAGATGCAGTAGCCTCTGTGTTCAGGCAGGGCTGCAGGCAAGGCTTCATGATCTGATGTGGCCTCAGCCTGTGCTTTGCAATCAGGTGGGGTCGCAGGCTGGGTTTCCCAGTTGGACAGGATGGTGGCTGTGCTCTGCTGTTGGGTGAGGTCACTGGCCAGACTTCCTGGTTGGGTGGGGCCTCATGCTGTACCCCACAGTTGGATGGGGCTTGAGGCTACACTCCCTAGTCAGGTGGGGTCATGACTGGGCTTCTTGCTTAGGTGAGATCACAGGCTCTGCTCAGCAATTGGGCATGGCTGTGAGCTGGACTCCACTGCCAGACTGGACTTTAGTCTGGGGTGTGCTGCTGGCCAGTACTGTAAGCTGGGCTCTGAGGGTCCCCAGGATCATTGTTAGGGCTTCCTCATCAGGCAGGCCAGCAGTTATGCTCCAGAGTTGTATGGGGCTGCTGACTTGCTTCCCTGCCTGGGCAGGAGGTAGGATATGCTCTGCAACTTCCCAGGGTCTCAGTCCAGGCTTCCTGGTCAGGCAAGACTGGCGGCTATGCTCAGCAGTGAGTTAGCTTTCTAGCAGTACCTAATTAGAGGGTCCAATTGTCTTCTTTAGGGAATTCTGGTCTTCTCTAAGAAGTGCTTTTAATGTAGACATCCAGTTCACAGAGTTATATGATTAAGTTTCAAGTTTTTCCTCATATTTAAATTCATGTTCTTATTTTTTTATTAATATATTTTATATATACAGTCAACATATATTTGAATCACTGTGGCTTTGGAGCCTGAAAAATCTGGGTTTGAATGCTGGCTTTAGTTTTTTAAAGGTTTTTCCCCATCCCCACCCCACACCCCGCCCCCACCCCCACTGGGAAAGATCAGCCCTGAGCTAACATCTGTTGCCAATCTTCCTCTTTTTTTTTTCCTTCCCCAAGCCCCAGTACATAGTTGTATATTCTAGTTGTAAGTCCTTCTAGTTCTTCTATGTGAGCCGCCGCCACACCATGGCTACTGACAGACAAGTGATGTGGTTCTGCACCCGGGAACTGAACCCAGGCTGCCAAAGTGGAGTGTGCTGATCTTTAACCACTAGGCCATCAGGACTTTCTTGAGTACTGGCTTTTTTTAAACAAGTCATTTATGCCTCTCTCATTTTTTTCATCTGAAGTATGAGTCACATGCTCCTACCTCATAGGGACGTTAGGGCTAGAGATAATATAAACTACATAGCACATAGTAGGTGTCAAATAAATGTGAAGAGGTATTTTTAAGTATACACGTAAATACAGATCATACTGATAAAAGAAACAATTTAAGAAGTCATAATAATCATGAACTTGTATAGCTAACACAACTTCAAATATATATTCAAAAGTTTACCTGCTTGTGTGTATACAATCCTGTACCCAAGTAGAGAACATTTTTTTGAAAGTCACAAATGAAATACAGTGAACACTGTTGTAGTTTCACCATTCATTTATAGTAATATTTTATCTTTTAAAACCTGCTCTATCAGTAATGTCCCCTTTTTAATTCCAGATATTTATTTGTTCCTTCTCCCTTTTTTTCTTGATTTATCTTGCTAAAGATAAAATATAAATATATAGATATTTAAATCTATATATAGATTTAATAAGATAAAATAGATTTAATAAGATAAAAATATAAATATAAAGATAAAATAAAAAATAAAAGATTATTTGTTCTTTCAACAAACCCACTTTTTGCTTTGTTAATCCTCTGTTGAATCCTTCTGTTTTATTAATTTTAGTTCTGGTCTTTATTATTTTCTTCCTCTACTTTTGTTTTTCTGTTCTTTACGGCTAAAATTTCCCTCAAAATTTTCCATTTCTTGTATCCAAAAAGTTTTTTAACAAGCTTTATTGAGGTATATTTTATATATCATAAAACTCATTTCAAGTGTACAAGTCAATGATTTTTAGTTACTATTGAGTGTGGCAACCATCTCCATAAATCAGTTTTAGAACATTTTCATCCCCTCAATAAGATTCCTCTGGTCCATTTGCAGTAATCCCTGTTCCCACCCCTAGCTGACCACTAATCTACTGTCTCTCTACATAAATTTGCCTGTTCTGGACATTTCCTATAACTAGAATCGTGCAGTATGTGGTCTTCTTGTGTCTGACTTCTTTCACTTCATATAATGCTTTTGAGGTTCACCTATGACATAACTTGTGTTGATAGTTACTTTTTATTGGTGAATCCATTGTATGGATATCTATAAATTTTGATATGTAATATTTTCATTATCATTCAGTTTCAATTCTTTTAAACTTTTTATTATATTCCATGACCCATGACCATGAGTGATTTTAAAGTGTTTCTGAAATTGCTAAATTATCAAGATATTAAAATTCATCTTTCTGTCATTGACTTTTTTTTTTTTTTTTAGGAGAATTGGCCCTGAGCTAACATCTGTTGCCAATCTTCCTCCTTTTTTCCTTTTTTTCCCCGAAGCCCCAGCAGATAGTTGTATGTCATAGTTGTACATCCTTCTAGTTGCTCTGTGTGGGATGCTGCCTCAGCATGGCTTGATGAGCGGTGCGTAGGTCCGTGCCCAGGATCCAAACCAGCGAACCCTGGGCCACAGAAGTGGAGTGCACAAACTTAACCGGATTTGTGGGAAACTGACTCTAAGAAACTGGGTCCCATTGTAGTGATAGGGCATAATTTGCCTCAACGTAGGCCCAAAACTTGGAGATAATTTTTACAAAAAAACAGTTTTTGCCTGTGCGGGCTTTGGTTTGTATGTTTGATTTTTTTATGTGTTAAAAACATTCAAAAAGAGAGTATGCTGTCTTTTAGCCCATGTGTTTGATCTTTCCCTCCCTATGAAGTCACTACTGCTCTCACTCTGGTGTGGGTGAGAAGTGTGGGGATGCTGCTAACAGGCAGGCACTGCTCTTAGAAGGATAAAGCAGCCTTTGAATTGAAAGTAGACCATATCCAATCATTTATTCATTCAGTCAACATAAAAGGAACATCTGTGTGTCAGAGACGTGAAGATCAGGCAGAACAAAATATAACATGGCCTTTTAGAGAATATAGAATGAGAACAGGTCCACCCGCAAAGGAATAGGCTTTGGAATATGAAACTTTTTTTTTTAATCTAGGGAGGTATAATTGACATACAACATTATATTAGTTTCAGATGTACAACATGATGATTTGATGTTTGTATATATTGTGAAATGATCACCACAATAAGTCTAGTTAACATCCATCACCATACATAGTTACAAATTTTTTTTCTTGTGATGAGAACTTTTAGGATTTACTCTCAGCAAGTTTCAAATATGCCATACAGTATGATTAACTACAGTCATTGTGCTGTACATTACATCCCCATGACTTATTTATTTTGTAACTGGAAGTTTGTACGTTTTGACTCCCTTCACCCATTCCCCCCCACCCAACCTCTGGCTACTGCCAATCTATTCTCTATATCTCTGAGCTCGGTTTTTTGTTTGTTTGTTTTTTAGATTTCGTCTGTAAATCAGATCATACGGTATTTGTCTTTCTCTGTTTGGCTTATTTCACTCAGCATAATGCCCTCAAGGTCCATCTGTGTAGTCGCAAATAGCAAGATCTCATTCCTTTTTTTATGACTGAATAATATTCTGTTGTATGTATCTATCACATTTTCTTTATCCATTCATCCATCGATGGACACTTAGGTTGTTTCCATATCTTGGCTATTGTAAGTAATGCTGCAGTGAACGTGAGGTGCAGATATCTTTCAAGTTAGCATTTTCTCTTTTTTCAGACAAATACCTGGAAGTGGGATTGCTGGATCATATGGTAGTTCTATTTTTAATTTTTTGAGGAACCTCCATACTGTTTTCCATAGTGGCTACACCAATTTACCTGGAATGTGAAAATTTAACTTTCAAAGGGACATATCTATAACACAGGACCTGAATTACCTGTGGATATTATAAAGTTATTTGTTTATATGCATATAACAATTATATATATTATATTATTTATATATATACACACAAATGTGATTTTTATATATGGTTCTTTAAATTTTTACATCTCCTTTTTATATGTTTTATAATCTGCTTTGGTCAGTTGAACACTTTGGCTGAATTATTATAAAATATTACAGTAAATAAGCATGCTAATTTGTTCAACTTATTTCTATGTGCTTTTGTTTCAGCAACCAAAGATCACAAGGAAAAACATTTTCAAACGAGGGAATTTGAAGCACCTCAGATTTCTAACTCTGAAAATGGTAAGAAATTATAATTTCACTATATATATGGATAATTTGTTACTTAAAATTCTTTAGTTTTTATTTAATATTTATTTCCTGAACATTAAAATCTGTATAGGTCTCTACACAGGGATGCAACCCTCTACTTCTACTTTGTAGCACGTCACAATGGAAATTAAATAATTCGGTGTTTTGTGTGTTTTGGCCCTGTCTAATCGTGTCTGTGTGACTGTGGGGACAGAGAGGACTGTGTCTGTCCGTCCTCTCTGCATCTCACCATCTGGCAGTGTAGGCGCTCAGTAAATACCACCGTGAATGTCTTCCTCAAGAAAGTTTGTTGCAAACACTTTCTCCTGGTTCGTCATTTATCTTTTGACTTTTCATCTAGCTGTTTCTTGCCTTGTAAATATTTTAAAAATTTTTATATAGTCACATTTATTAATCTTTTTTTTTGGATCTGGATGTTTGTCATTTGCAGAACCCAGGTTAGAGGAATTCATTTATACTTTCTTCTATTATTTGTGTAGTTTCATTTTTTATATTTATCTCTCTAATTCATTTGGAGTTTATTCACGTGTATGGTGTTAGAAATGAATTGTTATCTTTTTGAAAATGGCTATCTTTTATATCATTTTTTTAAAATGCCATCTTTGCTGCAGTAACTTGAGATAACTTCCAATCCTTGGCGAGATTTCTGTATGTACTCGGGTTTATATCTGGACTTTTTTAATGTTTCATTGATGCGTGTGTGTACCAGTGCCACATGGTTTTAATTATAGAAACTTTCTCTCTGTGTTTTTGTATCTAGTAGGGCTGGTAACCTCCTCTTCTTTTCATTATTTTTTTACTAGTCTTGCATGTTGATTTTTCAATATGAACTTTATATCAAATTATCTAGCTCCATAACAAAGCTCATTGATACTTTTATTGTGATCACATTAAATGTGAAAACTGGCAGCTTGATGACGTTGAGACATCCTAACCAAAAACAAGGGACATCTTTCTCTTTGTTAAAGTTTACTTGTATATCTTTCAGATATAGTTTGTTTCATACAGATTTTGAACATTTCTTGTCGAGTTTATTCCCAAGTATTTTTTCTTTTTTGTTGCCATTATAAATGAGGTTTTCTTTTGCATTGTATCTTTTATTTTTTTTTTTATTTTTTATTTTTTTTAAAGATTTTATTTATTTTTTGCCCCCAAAGCCCCAGTAGATAGTTGTATGTCACAGCTGCACACCCTTCTAGTTGCTGTATGTGGGACTCGGCCTCAGGCTGGACAGAGAAGTGGTGCCTCGATGCGCACCCGGGATCCGAACCCCGGCCGCCAGCATCGCAGCGCGCGCACTTAACCACCAAGCCACAGGGCTGGCCGCATTGTATCTTTTAACTGGTTATTATTTTGTGTGTATGGATGCTATTGATTTTTGCATGTTAATTTTATATCCTGCTACCTTGCTGACTTTTTTATAGTTTGAGTTGGTTTTATCATTGACTTTCTAGAGTTTTCCAGGTATACCATAATGTCATTTGGAAATAGAGATAGTCTGTTTTTTCTTTACCAATTCTTGTCACTGTAAATGATTTCCTTTTGTTTGATTGCACTGGTTACTCCCTGTAGAACAATGTTAAATAGTAGCGGGCATTTCCTGATCTTAGTGGAAATGCTGATAATGTTTCTGAGTTAATTAAGATGCTGGCTTTTGGATTGAGGTATATATTTTATGTTGTTAAGGAAATATCCATACAGTCCTATTTTCTCAAGAGTTTTTATTAGGAATGGTTGTTGAATTCTGCCAACAGCTTTTTTAGCATCTATGCCAGTAATTATTTGATTTTTCTTCTTTTTTTTTTTTTTAAAGATTTTATTTATTTATTTTTCCCCCTAAAGCCCCAGCAGATTGTTGTATGTCATAGCTGCACATCCTTCTAGTTGCTGTATGTGGGACGCGGCCTCAGCATGGCCGGAGAAGCGGTGCATCGGTGCGTGCCTGGGATCCGAACCCGGGCCACCAGCAGCGGAGCGTGCGCACTTAACCGCTAAGCCACGGGGACGGCCCTGATTTTTCTTCTTAAATATATTAATATGATGAACTATATTAATAGACTTGCTGATATTACACCATCTTTGCATTCCACTTGTAAGTCCAGCTTTGTCATTGTGCTTTTAGTCTGTCGGTATTTTATTTACTATTTTTGCATTGCTATTAATATTTCCTGTAAAAACATCTAGGCCTGGTGCTTTTTTGTGTTTTCTTCTCTGTGGAAATTGATCTGTTTAAGATTTTTATCTATCCTGGGATCAATTTTAATAAATTATACTTTTCTCAGAAATTATTCATTTTTTCTAGATTTTCAAATTTATTTCCATAGAATTGTACAAAATCTCTTGATTTTTTAACAACTTTATTGAGTTATAACTTAAATACCATAAAATTCACCTGTTGTAAGTGTAAAATTCAGTGATTTTTTTAGTAAATTTATAGAGTTGTACAACCATCAGACAGTTGAGTAGTAGAATATTTCCATCACCCCCAAATCCTCTCATGCTTGTTTGCAATTAATTCTTGCTTTCACTCCCAGCCCTAGGAAATCACTAATCTGATTTCTGTACATGTAAATTTCCCTTTCTTGGACATTTCATATAAATGAAATCATACAAAAGGTAGTCTTTTGTGTCTGGCTTTTTGTGTCTTCCATTAAGCATAATGTTTTTTAGATTCATCCATGTTGTACCTAACAGTAGTTATTACTTTTTTTTCCTTAATTTTTTTTTTTGCTTTAATTCTTTATTTTTAATTGAGGTAAAATTGGTATATAACATTATGTTTCAGGTGTACAACATTTAATTTGGTATCTAGTTACCAGCCATCACCATAAAATTGACCTTCAACTGTTTCACTCAACCCCCAACCTCCTTCAGGTCTTGTAACCACCAATCTGTTCTCTGTGTCTATGAAATTGTTTTTGTTTTGTTTGTTTGTTTTGTGTTTTTTAGATTCCACGTATGAGTGGACTATGTATCTATGTGTTTGTTTGTTGTTGTTGTTTTATCTTCCACATATCAGTGAAATTATATGATATTTAATTATATGATATTTCTCTTTCTCCATCTGGCTTATTTTACTTAGCATAATACCCTCATCCATGTTGCTACAAATGGTAAGATTTCATTCTTTTTTATGGCTGAGTAGTATTCTGAAAAGGCAACCCACTGAGGGGCCAGCCTGGTGGTGTAGTGGTTCAGTTTGTGCGCTCTGCTTTGGTGGCCCAGGGTTTGCAGGTTTGGATCCCGGGCATGGACCTCCGTACCACTTATCAAGCCATGCTGTGGCAGGTGTCCCACATATAAAGTAGAGGACAATGGGCACAGATGTTAGCCCAGGGCCAATCTTCCTCAGCAGAAAGAGGAGGATTGGCAACAGATGTTAGCTCAGGGCTGATCTTCCTCACCAGAAAAACAAACAAGAAAAAGCAACCCACTGAGTGGGAGAAGATATTTGCAAATCATATCTGACAAGGGGTTAATATCCAAAATATCTAAATAACTCATACAACTCAACAACAAAAAAACAAACAACCCAGTTAAAAAATGGACAGAGGACTTCAATAGACATTTTTCCAAAGAAGACATACAGATGGCCAACAGGCACATGAAAAGATGTTCAAAATCACTAATTATTAGGGAAATGCAAATCAAAACCACAATGAGATACCACCTCACACCTGTTAGAATGGCTATTATCAAAAAGACAAGAAATAATAAGTGTTGGAGGGGATGCGGATAAAAGGGAACTCTCGTACATTGTTGGTGGGAGCGTAAATTGGTGCAGCCACTATGGAAAACAGTATGGAGATTCTTCAAAAAATTAAGAATAGAACTACCATATGATCCAGCAATTCCACTTCTGGGTATTTATCCAAAGAATAGGAAAACGTGAATGAGAAAAGATATATGCACCCCTATGTTCATTGTGGCATTATTCACAATAGCCAAGACTTGGAAACAACCTAAGTGCCCGTCAATGGATGAATGGATAAAGGAGATATGGTGTGTGTGTATATATATATATATATATACACACAATGAAATACTACTCATCCTTAGTTTTTTTATTGTGGTAAAATACACATAACATAGAATTTACCATCTTAACTATTTTTAAGTGTACAATCAGTGGTATTAAATACATTCATATTATTGTGCAACCATCACCATTATCCATCTCCATAACTCTTTTCGTTGTGTAAAACTGAAACTCTATACCTATTAAACAATACCTCCCCAATGCCCCCCTCTCCTCGGCTCCTGACACCCACCACTCTACTTTCTGTCTCTATGATTTTGACACTCTAAGTACCTCATATAAGTGGAATCATACAGTATTTGTCTTTTTGTGACTGCTTATTTCACTTAGCATAATGTTATCAAGATTCATCCATGTTGTGGCATATTGCAGAATTTCCTTTCTTTTTTAAGGCTGAATAATAATCCTTTGTATGTATATACCATATTTTGCTTACTGTATTTTATTACTTTTTATTGATGAATAGTATTCTATTGTGTGGATACACCACATTATGTTTATCCACTTACCAGTTGATGGACATTTGGACTATGTACAGTTTTTGGCTGTTGTAATATTGCTGATATGAACATTCAAGTACTTCTCCTCGTGTGGACATATGTTTTCATATTTCTTTGTTAGATTCCTAGGGATGGAATTGCTAGGTTATATGGCAAATTTGAGTTTATTTTGTGTGTGTGTGAGGAAGATCAGCCCTGAGCTAACATCTGTGGCCATTCCTCCTCTTTTTTTTTTTTCCTGAGGAAGACTGGCCCTGGGCTAACATCCGTGCCCATCTCCCTCTACTTTATATGGGACGCCGCCACAGCATGGCTTGACAAGCAGTGCGTCTGTGCGCGCCCGGGATCCGAACCTGTGAACCCTGGGCCGCCAAAGCAGGGTGCACACACTTAACCGCTTGCACCAGCAGGCCAGCCCCTACCAATCCTCTTCTTTTTGCTGAGGAAGATTGGCCCTGGGCTAACATCCGTGCCCATCCTCCTCTACTTTATATGGGACGCTGCCACAGCATGGCTTGACAAGCGGTGCATTGGTGCGCACCCAGGATCGGAACCTGTGAACCCCAGGCCACCGAAGCGGAGCGCACGCATTCAACTGCTGCACCACTGGGCCGGCCCCTGAGTTTAACTTTTTAAGGAACTGCCAAACTGTTTTTCAAAGTGGCTGTATGATTTTGTTCCCACTAGCAAAATATGAAGGTTCTAGTTTCTCCATATCTTCATCAACATCTGGTATTGTGTGTCTTTTTAATCACATATATTCTAGTGCTTTTAATTTGTGGTCTTTATTTGCATTTCTCCAGTGACATGATGTTGAGCATCTTTTCAGGTGCTTGTTGGCCATTCATATATCTTTGTTGACAAATCTATTAAGATCTATCACCTATTTTTTAATTGGGTTATTTATCTTATTAAGTTGCAAGATTTCTTTATATATTCTTGGTACAAGTCCTTTGTCAGATATATGACTTGTAAATATTTTATCCTAGTCTTCTTATTTTCTTAATTTTGCATCCTGAAACACAAATTTTTAAAAGTTTTATGAAGTCCAATTTATCTTTTTTTTCTTCTGTGGATTGTTCTTTTGGTGTCATATCTTAGAACTCTGTTTAACCCAAGGTTACAAAGATTTTCTCCTATGTTTTCTTCTCAAAGTTTTATAATTTTAGCTCTTACATGTAGGCCTGTGATCATTTTGAGTCAATTGTTGTGTACATTGTGAGATAAGATTTTGTTAGTTTGTTTTTGTTTTTGTTTGTTGCATATGCATATCCAGTTGTTCCAGCACCATTTGTTGCAAAGACTCTTCTCTCTCCATTGAGTTTTCTTGACATTTTTGTTGAAATCAAGTGATGAAAAAATGTAAGAGTATACTTCTGGTTTCTAAATTCTGTTCCACTCACCTATATACCTATCCTTGGCCTGTACCATACTATCTTGATTATTGTGGATTTATAATAAATTTTGAAATTAGGTAGTGTAAACCCCACAAGATTTTTCTTTTTTCAGAATTGTCTTGGCTATTCTAACCCCTTTGCATTTTCATATAAATTTTACAATCAGCTTGTCAGTTTCTGCAAAGAAAGCCTAGTGGGATTTTGATAGGTATTGTGTTGAATTCCTACATTAATTTGGAATTAATTGCCACCTGGACAATATTGATCCTTCCAATTTATGGATGTGGGGATTTTCTCTCTCTGGCTTCCAGTAGTTTGTATATGATGTGGCTTGATATGGATCTCTTTGTATTGATTCTACTTGAGTTTGGTTAAGCTTGTTGGATGAGTAGATTAATATTTTCAACCAAGTTCGGACATTTTGTCCATTATTTCTTCAGATTCTGGCCCCTCCATCCTTTTGAGACTCCTCTTATGCGTATACTGATACTTTTAGTGTTGGCCCACCTTTTCTCTGAGGCTCTCTCTGTTCATTTTTCTTCATTCTTTTTTTTCTGTGTTCTTTGGATTGTATAATCTCTATCAATCTATCTTGAAGTTAGCTAATTCTTTCTTATGCTAGTTCAGATCTGTGGTTAATCCTGTCTAGTGACTTTTTCATTTCAGTTATTGTACTTTTCAATCTCAGAATTTCCATTTGGTTCTTTTTTTGTAATTTCTAACTCTTTATTGATATTCTCTATTTGATGAAACAGTGTCATCCTTCTTTTCTTTACTTTTTTTTTAAGATTGCTTTTTAGAAATTTTTTAGCTTTACTGAGCTATAATTGATAAATAAAATTGTAAGATATTTAAAGTGTGCATTGTGCTGATATGTATACGTTGTGAAAGGATTCTCTCCATCTAGTTAATTAACACATCTGTCACCTCACTTCCTTTACTTTAATCGCGCTTTCCTTTAGTTCTTTGAGTATATTTATTAGGGCTACTTTGAAGCTTTGTCTGTTAAATCTGACATTTGGTCACTCTCACAGGCAGTTTCTGTGGTCTGCCTTCTTGCCAATGTATGGGTCATCCTTTCTTGTTTTTTTTGCATGCCTTGTTATTCCTTATGGGATGCAGGCCTAGGTATACCCACAGTCACCCTGGGATGACGGTGGTTTTGGAAGGGCTCTCTTTGACAATCTCTTTCCCTGACCACACCCGGGTGTTAAACTCCACTACTTTCTAGCTGATTGTTCTATTGTTTTCAAGAAGGCCCTGGACCATAAATTGTTCTACAGACCAAACCAATCAAATTTGGACTCCTTTGAAAGGACAGTTCCCAACCTCAGTGTTTGAGATTTGTTCTTACCCTGAACAGGCTCTTCCCTGCTGGCTTTTCCCCTGGTTCTTCCAGGCAAACTAGTTGGCCTACAGTTGAGCCTATATTTCCAGTGAATCTACCAATCTCCTCCCAATTGCCTTTCGCCACAACATCCACTGTTTGTGAGAGTATTCTTAGGCTTGAATTTCTCCACACTGTTGCAAATTAGTCCCTTCCTTTAAAAAAAGATTAGGAGCTATTTATTTGATAGTCTGCTTCTCCTTCTAGGAAAAATCTCTGGGTCAGGGCTTGATCTGGGGATGGAAACAATGACATATATCTCCCTGAGTGACATCCTTGTTCTCGGAGCTGAGTGCTAAGTGAGAAGGGTGACAGCAGTCGTAGGTCTTCCTGCATGAAACTACCACCTTATGAGCAGGGTCCAGTGAGCAGGGCCCCCTGCTCTCAGCATGCCACATCCAAATCAGAGTCTCCATCCCATGCCTGGGGTCTTGGTGTCTGGGCGGGAAATGGGAACTTCCTCCTCTTGACTGTACTCCCTAGGACTTAGCCTTAGCCATAGGTAACTGAGGACAGGATATGAAATGCCGACATTGTGCCCTCCTGGGAAGATCACTCCTGACCGAGAGCTGGGGGCAGAGGGAGCCCTGTGTTCTTGGCTGCTCTGGGCTAGAGTGGAATTTCTATCTTGCTGAATTGGGAGAGAGGAGGAAGGGAGTGGTTCTTAGTTCAAATACCACAGTCTCTCTTCTTTCTGAATTTTAATAGATTTTCTTGAGTAAATGTTTCTTCATTTGATGTATGTCCTTGGAACAATTTCTAGAGACTTTAAATGGTTGTTTTTTAAGTAACTTTCACCAGTTATTTAAAAACTGGTGTGGAGGATCACAGACCTCCTCACTCTATCAGGCTGGAAGCCCCTCTCTTTCATTTTTGTTGATAAAGTTGTTTAGGGTCATGACCTTTCCTTGGTTAATTGCTGCTTAAATATCCCATGGATTATGATATGAAATGGCTTCTTTATCATTATTTTTCAGAAGTTCCATTCCCCTTTCAACCAAGAGTTGTTTAATAGAAAGTATTAAAAGTTACAGGTAGAAGAGCCTTTTAGTTTTTGGCTTCATATTTTAAATTATTTTATTGCATTGTCATCAGAGCATGTTATTTATAATATTTCTACTTTAAGAAACTCACTGATTTTTTTGTGTGTACCTTAGTATAATTAATTTTTGTTAATTTTCTATGTATGCTTGAGAAGAAGGTATATTTTCTATTAGGGTTTGTGTATGTGTATATCAAAATAATGACCTTATTGATTATGCTATTTAAATCTTTTATATCTTTACTTTTATCCTCTTGGCCTGTTTTTTACTGATGGTGGGTTCGTAAAGTCTCCTAATATTAATTTGTTTCTATTTCTACTTGTATCTCCCATAGTTTCTCTTACATAGGTAGTTGCTTAATTACTTCACACATAGATATTCATAACTGTTATATCTTCATTGTGAAATGTGGTCATTTTGATCTATAGTCTACCTAATTAGAAATAACTTTCACATAAACTTCCAACCAGTTTAATTCTTCCTTAAAAATTATGTTAATAAAGTATGAGAACAGTGAAACAAGTTTGATTTGCCCAACATCCTCATTTCTTCAAGAAGAAAAAAGCCATTCTGTTTTTATTTTCACTCAACAGTTGCAAAAGATTTACCTGTAGATTCATTGGAAGATGATTTTGAGAAGGAATTCTCATTTCTGAACAACCTCCTAAGTCCTGGTCCTTCCAGTACCCGTGAATTTACCCAAGAATGCCAGCATGCCTCTGGGAGCCCCAATGCCAGTCTCTCGTCCCAGGAGCCTTTGGTGGGGTCTGAGTCGCTTGCTCATTCCTCACGATTCCTTCCTTCACGACTCTTTGACCTTGGCCTTCATGCCACTGGAGCTTTCAACAGTAAGTGCCTATGACACATTTGGACACTCACGACTTATTTTATCTTTTTTTTTTTTTTTAATATTTTATTTATTTATTTTTTCCCCCAAAGCCCCAGTAGATAGTTGTATGTCATAGCTGCACATCCTTCTAGTTGCTGTATGTGGGACACGGCCTCAGCATGGCCGGAGGAGCGGTGCGTCGGTGCGCACCCGGGATCCGAACCCAGGCCACCGGCAGCGGAGCGCGTGCACTTAACCGCTAAGCCACGGGGCCGGCCCTCACAACTTATTTTATCTTTATGAAACAAAACTATGTGCATGTGGATGCTAAAATCAACAAAGATATTGATGTTAACTTCAGTACTCTTAGATGAAATCTGCAATCACACCGTTGACTAGAAAAATAACAATATCCCCACTGGAGTCTGTCAACAAGAGTGAGACAGGGTGCTTTCCTGCCACCTTCACCAAACCCCACACTCTCTTCATGGACTTTCCCAGGTGTCTTCTCCACATAGAACATCAGTGTCTTGACCTGCTAAGTTACCCTACCTAGGGCAGGTCATACTGTTTCTTCCACTTAGCAAACTTGGTGTATTCTCCTCCTGTGGGTTCAGAGTTGACAAGAGCAAAAGGAACAGCTCTGGAGGCTGGTTCCACAGTAGCCGTCCGGGCAAGGCAGCGGGAGTGGAGGACTGTGGGAGAAGGCGGGGGGGTGTTTTCCTGAGGAAAGGGTCACCTGCTTTGTTGATATGTCATGGACTCCCTCTGCTCTCCTGCTCTTCCAACATACTGTGTCCGGTTCAGCACCCCAGGAGTCATTTTGCTCCCTGCTTCTTTTTTGGTCACTAAGTCCTGTCAATTGTTTCTAAAACATGTCTCAAACTTCCCCCTCTTCCTCTCTGCTTCCAAACCGAGCCATTTAGAGTCTCATTGGGTTTCCTGGGTTGCTGCAAGAGTCCCAACAGATCTCCCAAACACCTGGTCATCCTCCACGCTTCCTCCAGAATTTTCTCTCTAAGAAGCAGATTCTGATGTCAGCACCCTGCTTACATTTAAAATAAATGAAGCACCACCAGCTCCAGGATCCAACCTGCCTGTGCCTGCATTTCCACCCTTATCTCCTGCCTCACTCCAGAGACTTAGATTTTCCGTGACCACATGGAGTGTTTTCAGATCCCTCTGAAGCATCTTTGCTTGTGTCACTTCTTTGAATGATAGTGTTCGTAATGGAGCGTGGACTTGAGCCTGAGCGTTACGTTCCCAATCCAGTGTTTTCTCCAAGACGGCCACCCCTTGAGGACTTCCTCAGTCCTGCCAGAGGGAGGGGTTCCCTTCTCCGGCCTCCCGTGGTGCTTTATCTGTTTTCATGGCTGTGATCACAGTTTCTCTTGCCTGATATCCCTCTTTCATCTCCCAGTTGATTATAACCCCTGAGAACAAGCCTCACGGCACCTGTGTCTTAATGCAGTCACTGTACTTTGTATTAAAAAACTCATGTTCATACTTGATCTGCAAGACCATCATACGTTATTCACTCTGCAAGCACCTCAAGGGCATGATCTGTGGAGTGATTTATCCTTGTGTGTTCTATGACAGCAGCATAAATTACTCAATAAATAAAATAAATATCAGTTAATCACTCAGTAAGAATTTTTTCAATAGCCTAAAGGTAAGTGTGGGAGATCAAGATTTGGCCACCCTGAAATCTATCTCTTTACCTTGGTGGTTTTCTCTAGGGGCATTTGACCTCCCCCACTAACTGCCTAAAGAATTTGACATGGTGGCTCCTTCCTGGAACAGATCTATCATGATGGCTATAAAGATAATGTAGGATGGAGATTACAATAGGAAAGGCACCAACAAGCCCCTCTTATCAGAAGTTCTGTCTCTCTGGCCACATTCTCTGGATGACCCTGCGAGGAGTTGCCAGACAAACATTTACATTTATAAGGGAAATCTCCATTTGTAAAGGTATCTCCCTCTCTGTATTGGGAAGAGGGGGGGATGGCCTCATTTTTAGAGGCTTATCAATGTGAAAGTTGAGGCCTTAAATCTGCATAATAACCTTACTCTTGTTTACAGTGCTTTAGTGGTAATCTCCTGTAACTGACTCCCCCCACCCCCAACATCCTCCTTTGTCATTGGCTGAACATGGTATTTAAGACGAGAATTTCTGCTATTGTGTTGAGAAACGCAGTGTCCCTGCTTTCTCCCATGTATACATGTTATTAAACTTGGTATTATTTTCTCCTGCTAACATGTCTTGTTAATTATTTGGCCAGCCATAAGAACCTTAAGGAAAAGGGCAGAGGGAGATTCTCCCTCTTCCCCCTACATAAGAATGGACAGTATTATTTGATAAAGAGACACTCTATCTAGATGTTTTGCTATAGTAAAATTTTAGAAAACAATCACTCTCGTGTCGCATATCAACGGCCCAATAGTTATAAAGATTTACTAACTCACTCATTCTCCACTGTGGGCTCCTCCTGAGTTAAGGATCTCTTTCTCCTTCACTTGGCACATCTCTAGTAGCACTGGATTCTTCTCCTGTTTTCTGGCAATATCGACGATATTTCCTCACCACTCAGAACACCTATCTGGTCCCGGCCTGCAGGCTGACAGTGTATTCCATGGGATAGCCGAGGCAGTCGATTCTCAGTGTTTGAGTGTCTTGCTCAAGGTCATCAGGCAGTTTAGACAGTTTGGAGGGGACCAGAATCTGGTCCTTTAGCTCCTTCAGCCTTCCCTCTATGTCCACTTCTTTTTCTCTGTGATGGAGACCAGGAAAGTGCGCTGCCCCGAGGGTCCAAAGATCTGTTCTAGGAACCCAAGTAAGAACTTGGGCCTCAAATGATCTCTTCTATACAAGGAAGGTAGTTGGCAGGATAATCCAAGTTCTTTCTAGTGCTGTGCTTTAACTACAGCGTAAACACCTTTTCATGTTATAGCAAACGCTTCTGTGTGTTACCGCGAGTCTTCACAGAGAGACTTTCTAATGTCTGCATATAGTATTTTGTCACATTTATCCACCATAATCTACTTAATTCCTTCCTTATTCTTTTTCATCTTATAGATAATGCTGCAATAAACATAATCATGCATGTTTTTCCTTCAGTTAAATTATTTAAGATAAATTTGGAATGGGATTACCGAGTCCAAGGGTATAAACATATTTATGGGTTTCGAGATTCTAATTGTCAGGTCTGTTTGCTCTCTTCCTAACTCCTTAGAACTTCTCTTTTTATATCTTATCCATTAGCAATTGTTAAAAAGAAAAAAATTTATTTATTTTAAAATCACTTTGAAAAATGTAAGGAAGTCTAACTTTAGCTGGGACTAAATTTAGATGATTGGAATAAAACACATAATTGCAGATAAATTCTAAGTGTTTTATATCTCTTATACTGTAGAATCTTACCCTGGTACAAAGATTGGAGGACTTATTAGATATTTTTACCTTTTCTTGTTTTTCTGATGCTACTTCCTGTTTGATTAACAATGGATAATTCATTACTTCCCTCCCTCCAGGCTGGGCCTCCCAAGGGAGATTAGAACTTCCTCTTTCACACACTGATAACCAGCCAGTGCCTTCACAGAGTCCAAAGAAGTTAACAAAATGTAAGTTATTTATTTATATTCTTTGCCATCATATTAACAATCAGTTGAATTCAGATAAGTTTAGAAAAGGATCACTTTATAGTCTTCGCCTCATATTGTCCAAAAAAATATTTTCTTACTGATGAATTAAAATGAAAGCTATAGCTGGCTACCCCTCACCATGGAAAGAATTGAATAGAAATTGTGAGATCGTCATAGTAAACTAAATTCTGTATTTTAATCTTTTACATTTTGTGTTAATGTTTGTTGATAATGGATAATACATACCATTAGGGATGGAAGATGCTCTTTGATTACAGGATGCCTATTGACAAAGAATGCACTCAGGCACTTAGCATGGAGCCTGGTACATAGTAATTGCTAACATATATTGAGTACTTAACCATGTTGTTGTCTGCAGAGCTGGGCCATGTTGTAAATACCATGTAGGGTGTACATAGAAAATAGACACACTGTCTTGCAGGATTTTAGATACATCTTAGTCACTGATGTTGATTTTTTTAAACTTTTTAATTGGAAAGAATTTCAAACATACAGAAATGTTGCATAAATGAAAATAGCACAAAGAACACCTGTGTGCCCTTTCCCCAGCTTCACCTATTAGCATTTTCCCCATTTGCTTTATGCAGGCCTGTGTGTGTGTGTGTGTGTGTGTGTGTGCATGACATCCATCATGACCCTTCACCCCTAAAGACTTGTGTTTCCTAAGGTGTTCTCTTGCATAACCGCAGTATGGGTGTAAACTTCAGGAAATTTACTATTAACATGGTGCTCTCCTGTAATCTACTGTGTATTTGTACTCCAGTTTTGTGAGTTGACCCCGTAGTGTCCTCTACAGCACCTGCCCCTCTGGCACAGCGCCGAGGGGCCTGGATTGCGTCCAGTTGCCTTGTCTCTTCAGCCTGCTTTAATCTGAAACATTTCCACAGCTTTTCTTTGACTTCTGGGCGTGGACGTTTTAATGGAGTGTAGCGCCTCTGCTCCACCGCTTTTTGTGTTTGATAGAACGCTCCGTATTTCAGTTTTATCTGAGGTCTCCTCATGGTTCAACTCAGGTCATTCATTCTCCACTGGGATACCGCAGAGGTGCCCTTCCTTTCTCAGAGCTTCTCGTCTGAAAGCTTGCACTGTCCCTCTCTCCCTCATTGGTGATGTTAATTTTGACCACTCATTCAAGGTGGTGTCCAGTTTTTTCCCTCTATAATTACTATTTTATTTTACTCTTTCTTGCAATTACTAAGCCGTCTGTGGGGAGACTCTCTGAGACCGTGCACACATCCTGCTCTTCATCAGAATTTCCACTTCAGTTTAGCATCTACTGTTGCTTTTTGCCTGATTCAGTCTTTACTCTAATGGGTGAAAATGATGATTTTCCAACCCCACTACTCCCCCCACAGTTTTTTTTATTGTGGTAGAAAACACGTAACAAAATTTACCATCTTGACCATTTTTAACTGTACAGTTCAGTAACGTTAAGCATATGCACATTGTTGTGAAACAGATCTTTCTCCAGAACCTTTCCATCTTGCACATCTGTAACTTTATACCCATTAAACAACAACTCTTTTCCCCCTCCCCCCAGCCCCCAGTAGCCACCATTTTTACTTTGTTTCTATGAATTTAACTACTTTAGATACCTCATAAAGGCGGAATCATACAGTATTTGTCTTTTTGTGACAGTCTTATAATGTCCTCAAGGTTCATCCATGTTGTAGCATTTGACAGGACTGACTTCCTTTTAAAGGTTGAATAGTACTCCATTGTATGGACAGACCACATTTTGTTTATCCATTCATCCACTGATCACATTTTTAAAACAGCCTTATTGACATATAATTCACATGCCATATAATTCACTCCATCCACCAGCCTTCAATACTCTGTGTAAACAAAAGACCTCTCCCCCATTTATTATCAGTATGGATTCAGGTTTTTTCAATAGTTTATATCACAAGGGGGAACTAAGGAATGGTCATGTCTGTTTCTTGATGTTGGTTTTGTTTATGGTTGCTTTTACTTTATGAAAATTAATAACAGTTATTTGGTTCTTTTTATCTACATGTATATTACAGTTCAGTGTAATTCATTCATTTTCTATTTGTTGTCCTGTAAGAATCTCTGGAGGCAAGAAAAGTGTACATAAGGAGAGCCCCCATGAAAATAGTGTAAGACCCTCCCGTCCCATTGTGACAGATGACTATAAAACCATCCCACATTTGCAAAACGCTGTGCAACTGTCACCTACTCATCAGGGAGGCCAGGGATTACTGCAATGACTGTGTCTCCTGGGTGACACCTGTTCTTCCATCATAATTATTAAAAGCCCCTGTTCACTCTCAAGTATCCTGGTTTAATGATAAATTATATGATTATTACTTTACAGATGAGGAAATAAGAGCCCTGAGGTTCACTGACTTGCCCATTATTACTTATTAGTAGGTCGTGTGCCCAGGACTCAAAGTCAGAACTTAAGTGAGTTTCACTGACTACATTGGGGTTCCCAGAAACATAACTGGACACACACTGAAGCCTTTCACTCTGTCCTGATCCTTGAGGCTTGGGATCCCCACAGCCCCAACTCCAGTTCTCTGGTCTGTGGAAAGTGGTAACCATGATCACAAAAGAGGGTTGCCTTAGACTCTTCCCAGTAGGACTGCCTTCCATCCTTTGCCCCCTGTGTCTCTGGTCTCTTATCTCAGTCTTCAGATTGTCTCCTGGGTCTCAGCCCTGCTTTCTGGATCCCTTGGCTTTCAAGAGCCTAGCCTTCTGATATGACCCACTGTCTGTGCTACTGTGCATTCTTTATTAGTCCCAGCCTTCAGCCCAAATGTGTATCTTTGAATATCTGCCACAGTAAACTAGTAGAGTGTTGACATACGAGATTTTTCCAGTCTCCACAGGGAGAGGGAGTTGGTTAACAGAAAGTTGTATCTGAGACACAATCTACTCCATAAAATCTATATCAAAAATTTGTAGAGCATACATGGAAAAGACAAAGGAAACAACTGTAAACCAAAATGACAACTGTTGGGTGTGTTAATGTGATAGGATTAGGGAGATTTTTTTTTCCTTATGTTTAATACTACTCTCATAATAAATATAGATTTTAAGCACTGAGTTTACAAATGTAATGTTCCTGCTTTGTAGGAGCAAAAGTTACTTTTAATTTTGAACCTTATCTGAGAGCCTTGTGTACATTATGTTAGTGTTGCTAAGAAGACTCTACTACTGCCTGCCTTTTCCTTTTAAAGATTTTATTTATTTATTTTTCCCCCAAAGTCCCAGTAGATAGTTGTCTATCATAGCTGCACATCCTTCTAGTTGCTGTATGTGGGACGCGGCCTCAGCATGGCCGGAGGAGCTGTGCGTCGGTGCGCACCTGGGATCCGAACCCGGGCCGCTGGCAGCGGAGTGCGAACACTCAACCGCTAAGCCACGGGGCCAGCCCTGCCTTTTCCTTTTAATCAAGTCCTTTCTCAGAGCAACATGCAATTACTTATATCTAAGAGCCTTAGCAAAACACAAGGTATCTGCATCTGCTTTTCAAAATTATCCTCAAGGAGATATCATTGATAGTTTATTCTTGTCAGTTGTCCTAAATTTTGATTCAAAAGAAGCATCGACTTTAAAATCATAAAAGTGATACAGTAATATGATTTCAAAAATCTGAGACTCCTAAATGTGTTTTTTTTCTTGTTTAATAGCTCCCAACAAGTGTAACCAAGACATGTCAGCCTGGTTCAGTCTATTTGCAGACTTGGATCCACTTTCAAACCCAGATGCTATTGGACACTCAGACGATGAACTACTTAATGCGTGACTGAAGTTATGATGTCATTTCAATGGCTTTGAGACATCAATTTTGCAACATATTGCCTTTGTGGAAAGGAGTTTATTTTGTAACCCAGACACAAAAGCATCAGGTTTGCCGATATCACACTTGTCAGCCAACTTTAGACAGATGGTGAGGACCACATTTGAATAGATTAAGTATCTTTTTTATATCTTGGATTTGCAGCTGTTGATAATATGTGGAAAATATTAGAAAATTAAAAAATGAGTCTGAAATAGATACCAAAATGTATTTCAGAATAACAGCCAGGAGTACTTCTGTCAGTAAGGAGTGGGGCTTATTTCTTTGGAAAGCCTTTTACGTCTAACTGGCATTGCTGGTGTGAGAATTCTGTGTAGGTAAAGGACGGCATGTACGTTGGGTTGTGGTTGGGGGTTGGTTTTTAAATAAAACAGTGGTAGGGGAATTTTCTGTTGTGGAAAAGAGCACTTAGAACCAGACCAGATTTGTCTTGAGTTAGGAAGGCAGAGTACGATTTGAGAACTCAATTTGCTGTAATGAAACCACAGAGAAACTTCCTGCTTGTTTTCTCTGCTTGGAGGCTAAAATGTTATATTATTTAGTTTTTCCTTCATACAAAATCATGGACACCCCTCAATTCTATTATTGAACTTTCATGGGGCATAGCAGGATGAGTTATTTGCTAGGTCCATCCTCCGCAGAAACGGAAACATTGCTCTTCCCATCTCATAAACCACAAGAATGTCCAGCAATAGTCAAGACGTCGTGCAGGTGTCTCCAGGCCTGGTTTTCACACATTGCTACCATAAAAGTGCAGTATTCACACTCTTCCTGAAAAGAAAACAAGGAGAGGACCCTCCCTAAGCAACTGGCAATAGTATTCCTGAAATTACCCAGAAACTTCTGTCTGAATGAGGGAAAATTCTAAACACCTTATCCTTATATATATCTGCATGCTTACCCCATATTTCTTGACTTGACTTAACCCAGAATATGTTCTGGCAGTTACAGAAAGCTCTACATGATCATTAAGGGAGTGTCTTATTTTTCCACTTGCCCTTTCTGTGGGTAACATCATCTGGGTCTCTGTTTGATTACTAAGGAAAAACTATCACCCTGACAGGGTTTAGCATCTAAGCATTGGAGGGAAGGCTAGTTAATGGAAATTAGTGTAAGCAAAGGAAAAACACAGCCACTGTGTACACCATCAGTCACTCAACTTCCTGTTCTTTTTTCTTGCACCCTTTGGTTTTGAAGCAGTTCTCTAGGTGTCTTATTTTTGTCATCCAATCCATTGTAGCTCCATAGGGAAACATTTTAAGTTGTTCACAGTAGTTTCCATATGCTTCTAGTTCTAAACAGGCTTATTTATTATTTATGAGAGAATTGCTTGTAATGTCCAACTTGTATATAGAAAACCATTTTTTAGGTAGGAATGAACCAGACAGAGTAAGTAAAATGCAGTGCACCTCCCATCCACAGCAGTCCGGCCTTAACTACGATCTGAACGCCCATGAGCTCTCCAGAAAACCACTACTCTGGCCAAGTCCTGCATAGCCTGGGAAGACCTTCTCTGAGGGTCAGAAACAGGGACTCAGGAAAAGGTTATGAAGTCTTTCATTAACATCTTTCCACATGCTTATTCCTATTTCTTTATTTGGTTATCCCTTTAGAAGCATTTTTAACTCTTTTTATTCAGTGAAATACCCCAGAAGGCAATACTGTCATTGTTCGGCCAAGAGTGAATCCCCAAGGGTTATGATCACAAATCACAATCTAAATTCTATACCCATAGTGACTCTGTGCTCTGAACCTTGAGTACCTCAAAAAAATTCAATTTGTCTTGAATTTGTGCCGTTTTTCTTTCACTAATTTTCACTAATGCATTAGTTCAAAAATATTTGTGTATCTCCCTCTCATGCACGCAGAGCAGCAGCCGTTGTCTCGTATAAACAGACACCTCGATACAGAGGAAAACCACTAGTCTCTCTAAGCCAGAAGCCCGAATCCCAGACAATGGGATGTGAAGGGATCCTGCCCTCAATTTTCCAAGAGCAAAGGTTCTCAAAAATAGAAATAAAAATAGACAAGGGATTTTTATTACTCAATTCTTAGTTTCTGGAACATTTTCTCTTTCAACACAGAGTATGTAGTTGCCCATTTAACCCAAAAGCAACACTAACTGCCTTATCAAGTCTAGCTATAACTTCAACAAGTCTAACCACCTTGTTTTTGAAGAGCACATTGAAAACTTTATTAAAATCAAGGTAACCATTCATGTTTTCTCAAGATTAGTTATTTGAAGCTCAGTCATCAATTTAGGGGCCAGAAACAGAAATGCAGCTGTTCACACCTACGCTGCTAATATAGGAAACCAACCACATACCCAGTCGGGAGTGAAAGGAGGGACAGGATAAACACAGCACAGAAAGGGGGTCAGTTGTTGTCTGACTCTACATCGACCATTCAATGAGAAGTAAACTAATGAACCTAAACCAAGGGTAGGCTGAGAACAACTGTTTCAAAATAAATGGATGCTTTTTATATTAAATGGGGGAAAAATGCCTGTCTTTTACTTTTTAATACCAAATAATGCATTTGACCTTAAGAAAAGCTCCAGAAGAACTAAAATTTGCCTACTATTCCTACAACCACTTCACGAGAGAGGCAGGAGTACCAGGGCATGTTAAGATCAGATTGGTGTAACTCTGTAATTGTTGAAATCTTTCATTAATTGTAAAACATAGCTCTGACATGGTTAGAAACATAAAAACTGTATTTTAGCAAAACAGGTTTCAGTATTTGCACAATGAAGAAAGTGTTTGTATTTCAACTATGGATATTTGTTTCACGTAACTCTATAGACCACCTGGACGCAGAGGTCTTACAGCATAAGAACAAAGGAAGTCTGAATGTGCTCTATCTATTTTTCTGAGCCTCTTTTAATAAAGATTACAAGATGGCATTAAAAAAAGTTTATTTCCTAAAATATTCAATACGAGTCCAATTCTTGTTTTGTTTCCCTATTCAAAAACTTGGGTTTTACCTCAGGACCATAGTAGTGACAAGGTAGTTTGAATTGATACGGATACCACAGAATGAAAATAAAATGAAGGCAATTCATATCCTGGTAAGGCTGTCTCTTTCTGATTTACTTCATACAGAAGGGACTTTGTAAGATATGGGAAATAACAGAATGTGTGTTCTTGTGTCAATACTCAGTAACAAAATACAACTTTTGAATATCAAAATTTTGAGCCTAGAAGCAATAACCAATGAAACATAAGCCATAGTATTTAACCTGATTTGCTGAAGGCAGGAGCAGAAAGAAGCCAGCCAGGATCGATCCAGTTATTTCCGTCTTCCATCACATCGCAGGGCCCTGCACTTCCTTTTTTTTTTTTTTTTTTTTTTTGGCGAGGACAATCAGCCCTGAGCTAACATTCATGCCAATCCTCCTCTTTTTGCTGAGGAAGACTGGCCCTGGGCTAACATCTGTGCCCATCTTCCTCCACTTTATATGGGACGCTGCCACAGCATGGCCTGACAAGTGGTGTGTCGGTGCGCACCAGGGATCCAAACCCAGGCCGCCAGCAGCAGAGCCCGTGCACTTAACCGCTATGCCACGGGCCGGCCCCCCAGCCCTGTCCTTCCTTACCTTGAGCAGTGAGGCAGCCGCAGAGTCTTGGGATATAGAAACTAAACTGGGAAGGAAATACAAATTGTAAAATAGTAACTAATTCAGCAGTATTGAAAGTAAGGCATTTAAAACATTCAATGGTAGGGTGTTTAAATATGGCAAAGAAAACCTATGGAACAGGATGGGAAGAAAAATGTCTGTTGGTCACTTTCAAAAGCCCAACATAAAATATCTTCTTCCATCTTTTATGTGTCATTTAAAAGAAAACTGAAGAGTTCAATAAAAACTGTCCTTGGCATTTAAAGTCAAGACGTGGTTCCTCATTCAGTGGTGTAAACAAATCGTTTAATGTCCAAAAAGTAAATACAAAAAGGAGATAAAGGTCTGGGTGGTGCTAACCGGTAAGATTTTGAAGTGCATGTTTGTACTGTTAAAAAAAAAAGGTTGTTTCCTTTTTCCCATTTCAAAGTAATACCCTTTTTTTTTTTGGTGAAGAAGATCAGCCCTGAGCTAACATCTGCCAATCCTCCTCTTTTTGCTGAGGAAGACTGGCCCTGGGCTCACATCCATGCCCATCTTCCTCCACTTTATATGGGATGCCGCCACAGCATGGCCTGACAAGCGGTGCGTCGGTGCGCGCCCAGGATCCGAACCCGCGAACCCCGGGCCGCCAGTGGAGCGCACACACTTAACTGCTTGCGCCACCAGGCCAGCCCAATACCCTCTCTTTTAAAAGTCTGGCAAATACTAAAAAGTATAAGAAAAATCATCCATAGCCCTACCATCCATGAATAACCACTTTTAACATTATATACATATTCTGTTATTTTATAGTACCTTTGGGATCACATATGAATTAAATTGTGATCCAGGTGATTTCATTTTATTGTCTTCTCTGTCTGAAATGGGCATACCAAGTTATCGAGATTAAAAAATTACTTTTCTAAGTCTTTTTCTCAAAAAGTCTGGTAAAAAAATCCACCAAAAAGGTGACTGAAGTCACTTTCTGCCTCTCTAAAAGATGTGCTCCCCAAATCAAAAAAAAAAGAAAATGTCTCTCGAATTTCTGCAGCAATAGCAACATTAAAACCCAGAGAGCTGAGGACTCATGTCACTCACTTGCTTGGTCAGGAACCAGTGTCTAACCAGCTCACTTTCTCTTCGCCCTCTGAACCAAGCTGCCAGCAGTGGAAGTGATGAAGAGGACTAGAGAGGAGAACAAACAAGGCGACGGCCCAATAGCACATCATCTGCAATGATACTAAACACTATTTTATTAACGTCACCGTTCCAGAAGTAGTAGTAGTAAGGCTTTGTGGTTAAGCTGGAAGCCTCGAGTCAGACTCGGTTCAAAGCTGACTTCGACATTTCCCAGATGTAGGACCATGAATAAGTTACCTAATCTAATTCCAATTTTGTCATCTACAGGACTGTAAAAATACCAGTACCCCGCTTCATAAGGTTATTGTAAACATTAGGGTAGGGGCCAGCCCGGTGGCGCAGAGGTTAAGTTCGCACGTTCCGGTTCAGCAGCCCGGGTTCACCCGTTTGGATCCTGGTGCAGACTTCCTCACCGCTCATCAGGCCATGCTGAGGCGGCGTCCCACATAAAGCAACTAGAAAGATGTACAACTATGACATACAACTATCTACTGGGGCTTCGGGGAGAAAAAAAAAAAAAGGAAGATTGGCAATAGATGTTAGCTCAGGGCCAATC